GAGGGGGGTTCCAATTTTTACCCGGGGACAAACTTTCGATTTGCACCCCCCCCCCCTCAAACTTTCGATTTGCACACCCCCCCTATGACATAGTGTGGGGAGAAGGTGGTATGCGCAAATCATGGGGAGAAGGAGGGGGTAGGCAAACATCATGGGGAAAAGGGGTAGGCACAAATCATTTGAAGAAGGGAGGGGGTAAGGTCCATATCGTAGGGAGAAGGTGGTATGCTCACATCGTGAGGAGAAGGGAAGGGTGTAGGCACATATCGTGGGAAGGAGAGAGGGGTAGGCACATATCGTGGGGAGTAGAGAGAGGGGTAGGCACATATCGTGGGGAGTAGAGAGAGGGGTAGGCACATATCGTGGGAAGGAGAGAGGGGTAGGCACATATCGTGGGGAGTAGAGAGAGGGGTAGGCACATATCGTGGGGAGTAGAGAGAGGGGTAGGCACATATCGTGGGGAGTAGAGAGAGGGGTAGGCACATATCGTGGGGAGTAGAGAGAGGGGTAGGAACAAATCATTTGAAGAAGGGAGGGGGAAGGTCCATATCGTGGGGAGAAGGTGCTATGATCACATCGTGGGGTAGGCACAAATCGTGAGGTGAAGGGAGGTAGGGTACGTATCTCTAAATCGCTTGTAATTACAAACAATTTTTCAGATATAAATTCGTGATGGTAGTTGAGTTGTTTCCATGATATTTAAAGTGGTTTGTATTGCAGAGTCAATGCTGATGACATACTTTGGCTTGTCCCGAACGACAGTTTAACAAAAATCAACAACCAAAGCCATACTGAAATATAATTCTATTAAGTAGGCCTATAATTATTCTGAACATTTCTCAAATAATCTAACACGTTTAGAGACGTTGCGTTGAAAGTGTAGAAATAAAAAAACAATATTGAAAGAAAAATTGAACCTGTCTAGAAATAAACCAACCATGATGATTCATTCACCAGCTCCATCATATTTAACGCGTTTCAGATTTCTTTTAAAGTTATAACTTGGTTATAGATTAATTTAATAAGAAAAGTAACACTGTTCAAGCATAGATCAATGGGTTAAATTTTATTTTAAATAATGTAAAAAAAAATGATAAATTTTCAATATTCAGAATAATAACGCTGACTATTTTAAAGAAACTCCGATTTCTCCTTTAGAGGAAAATTTTATAACCACATTATTTTCAATGAGCGAAATAAAATAAAAAAGTTTATTCAAAGAAAATTTTCTTTGAAATTTTCTAAATTTTGAAAATACCTTTCAGTTGTTGTTAGAAACGCTGCTGAGTAACCTGATTCGGCATAGGAATACATTTCCCCCTTTTCAAATAGTCATTAACCACTGATGTACTGTTAGCCCGAAAGTCGCGATTTCGAATCCAGGTTGAAGTCAGCATAATGAGCCACCACCACTCACTCACCCCGAAAATTGTGTACCCCCTCATCCCCCCACCCCCGAACGAAATATAGTTTATATAGAAAATATATGCTTACCAGTATATATTTACCAGTGTCCGCCCCCGGAAATATTTTAGTCAGTGTTTCTTCCAGACTTTTTTCTCTGGGGGGGGGGGGGGGGCACTTGAAATTTTCGGGGGGGGGGGGCGATAGAATTTTTATCGGGGGGGGGGGCGGACACTGTTAAAAGTATATATTTTCAATATAAATTATATAAATTTCATTTCGTTCGGGGGGGGGGGGGCGGTAGAATTTTTTCGGGGGGGGGGGGTGCTTCGCCCTGGAAGAAACTCTGATTTTAGTCCCCCAAGGAAAATTTCAAGTGCCGCCACCGCCATTTCCCACCCACCCCCCCCTCTCCCCGGAGAAAAAAGTCTGGAAGAAACACTGACTCGACTTCATCTGCTCATCTGCCCGTGTGTTGTGCATATACGGAAAAAGATGATGCTAGTCCCAATGTAACACATTATAACAGTAGTATGTGTTGGCTACACTACATCCGCCCCATGTGTTCTGAGATCGGACGGGAAAAGATGATGATTGATCAATGACAACTAGCAATCAAATTTAAAAATTGAAGGTTTATACTATTTTATAACAGTTTTTTTAGTTACGTGTTAGGCAGCCAACTACAATAAAATGTTAGCGTAATTCATGCGTACTTTTTTCTAGTACATTATGCAATTTTGTAATTCTGTCAGTGTATATGTGTGCATCGGTGCATGCGCAAAGGGCGAGTTCATTCAATTATTGAATCTATCTCTCGTATTGATTAGGCATAGATTTGTATTATAGTAAACATGGGCGTAGCCTGGTTTTCATCATAGGGGAGGAAGCGAGTGCACACAAAAATGTCACTTTTATCCTCTTAATTATATAATTATATATACAAAATTTACACTAGAAGTCGACTTAACTGCTGCTAAAAATAATTTATCAAGACGCCGACTTCCATTCAATACATGACATTACGAAAAATGTAGGTATTATTGGAGGTAGTTTATTTTAACTAAGTACTTTAAATTTTGCTCAAAAGCGTCGTCATTGTTAGGCAAATGTTTATAGAAGAAACGGACGCACCTCTCATCCCGTTTCCAATGTCTACGCCTTTGATTGTGTAACACATGGTAGGCCTGTAACTAGGCAATATACTTATGAGATACTGATCAGTGACCGTAAAATCACGCCATCTGAAATTTTCATTTAAAATGGTTTAGCCTATTTGTAATGGAGATGTTCCGACCCAATGCCAATACGTAGGTCTATGTTGAAATTTGAAAATTTCGTTTGATTTTAATACATATGACAAGTTTATTGGCTGAAGCGTTACAAGGCGGCAACGGTGGGCGGGTGACACCATTCAAATTGTGACACCAAAATAAAAGAAGCGAATTTTGATGAGAAAGTCTGCATTTTACCAGTTTGTTTCGTAATTTGTATACACCATTAGGCACAAAGTATGGGGCGGTGTGGCCAAGCGGTAGAGTCCTAGACTGCTAACCCTAAAGTCTCGAGTTTAAATCCGGGTTCAAGTCAATACCATCTTTGAGTCTACCCAGCTCTGATGGGTACCTAACTCGCGTTGTTGACTACATTATGCCTTCATATGCCGAGGTCTCTGAAACATATGATCTTCACTTAATCTGCCCAGTGTCATGGACACGAACGGTAAAAGACGACGATGATTATGATTAGGCACAAAGTATTACCTTGGGGTATGGGGTGACATCAAATTTCCTAGTTTAGAGAGGGTGGAGGGGGTGGGGGAAATCGTGGATTACCGCATCGGGTCTCACCCGACTACCCGACCTAGTGAAGCCACTAAGTATTGGTAATGACCATAATGCCACCAGTGATAATACAAGCTTGATTTGATCCTACCTAAAGACGGGTAGATCTGTCTACATGAGTGTTTATATTTTAAACCTTCAATACGGTTGACTTGAGTATTAAACAATTTCGTGTATCAGTACTATTTTTTCGTAAACGCCCACATACACAGGGATCCATTGTCCTCGGTACGCGGAGCTTTTACCACAGGTACTTAGACCATAGAGCATTCGACTATAAGTGGCCAAAGCCCCACTGTATGAACGAATCCCCACTGTATGAACAAATCCCCACTGTGTGTAAGAACAAATCCCCACTGTATGAACAAATCCCCACTGTGTGTAAGAACAAATCCCCACTGTATGAACAAATCCCCACTGTGTGTAAGAACAAATCCCCACTGTATGAACAAATCCCCGCCGTGGTCAAACTACGTATGGTCAAACCACCCACAACCAAATGTATAGGCATATGTCCCTTAATGTAAGCCACAAATAGGCTGGAGACAATGGGTCTACTTAGCTTTCATCATCTAGGTCTTTTGACGTGCTCCCGTGATAGGGGGGGGGGGGGGAAAGAGGTGGGACGCTTAAAAGAATCAGTGATTTAAGTGCTAAAGGCGATACCATAACTATCGGGTATTTAGCAATTCAGCATGGTTGAGCCAATGATCGGGGTAATGGCGGAAACAAGCGAATAGCATGTCAAGGAGATATCTGTAACATTGTTCCCGCGTTCTCTGGCCATCCATCAAAGCCTGGTGATTAAGGTAGGATGGACACGATAATCCCCGGAGATGAGAGCGGCTCACGCACAGGTCAAGGACAACTTGATAGGCTGGATGTTACCTGAGCGGTTTAAACTATTCCCAGGTTACTTTTTTTACATTTTAATGATCGAGACAAAATTAGGAAAAATGTAATAGTAAGTTATAGTGTCATAAACCCCCAATAGTTAACTATTTTGTAATATTTATCTTTTGTGAGTTCTCTCCACCGTGAATACAAAATAATTAATCCAAGGTAAGTAACAAAGAAAATGCTTTACATTTTGTTAAACCCGAGTAGTGTACCTTTTTACGTTTGAAGGATTTTACCGACAGTCACTCTCATAGCAGAAGTTTATGAGGCCCTATATTTGGAACAAATGTGTGTGGGGGTGAACCACAATACAGTAATGATGGAGGGGTGGGGGAAGAAATTATTACATGCGTTTACATAAACTATATGGGGATGGGGTGGAATCGGACTTAAGAGACGACGTGTGACGAGTAGAAAGGTGTTTCCGCTTTTTATTTTACAAAATTGTTTTGAAAATGAATTTCAGCAGTTATTTCGCATTTTAAAAGGCTTTCTGTAAATTGTAATAAAATTGATCAGTATACATTGGGCCTACAACAATAATGTATTGTTAGCTCAGCTGATAGAAATATTTTACAAAGAAATCTGTTTAAAAAACCAAACAAAATTATTTTGGGGTAACCTTAGCTTAGGGCCAAGTGTGACTTCAATTTTTTTTTGAAGGGGAGGGTGGGTTTCTGAATATTTTTTTGCCAAAGAGAGCAGAGTTTCTTTCAGGTACCTCTTCGGAGTTATTTTCAGTTTCTAGACTAGGCCCTAGGCTTAGTTTACAGATCTGTTATTTGTATTCATATTTTTTATTGGTAACAATTTTAAAATGACTCTTTCAACCACTTCCTGTTTGAACCTCGTTTTGACAATATGGCTGCATTTCCTCTAAGATGAAAACATAAGTGGAAAGGAATGCCAAAAGGAGATATAGGTCTCCTATATTTCCAAAATTATTATAATGGAGCAGGAGGAATTCGTACCTGGCTCACAAATTGGCCATGATGATATTTCCCTAACTGAAGGAGCTTTCAATCCAATGGACTTTCTCGATGATGTTGATGATGGCCTCCTCATTCACCGAGTTGACTCCGACCAAGTTGTTTATCAACCACAACGGCACAAAGTCAAATTAATAAGCAAATATTTAATGGGAGAAATTTTAGGTGAAGGGTCTTATGGTAAAGTTAAAGAGGTTTTAGATACTGAGACTTTATGTAGAAGGGCAGTGAAAATCTTAAAGCGCAGAAAGTTGCGGAAGATACCAAACGGAGAACAGAATGTTCAGAGGTGAGTTGATGATGGGTGGCACTGGCAAGTAATTTGAAGTAAATTTAGCTGTTTTTCTTCAGTCTAATGAGTGCAGAGAATAGTTTCAGACTGTTGTTAAAGAGTAACTTACATGATAGTGAACGTTCAACGTACATTGCACTTAGAATTTAGAAGGTCTATAACGCAGCAAACACTTTGTTGGTTTTCACAGCAGTTTTCAGCTTAAAAATACAATAAAATTATTTATTAGCATAACTTATGCAAAACTACTGCGCTTGCACATAAAGTCATAAACTGTTCATTTATGAATACTTCTGTGTCAAGTACTTTTGTTTTCTCTTTCAGGGAATTTTTGAACAATTTTTTATATGTTGCATGGTACGCAAATATCTATTTTCACACCACCCCTGATAAAGTGACCTAGTGTTGGTATTTTTCTCCTGCAGACAAGAAAATGAAAGCAGTTGATCTTGCGATGTTTGGAAATTCTTGAATACTTTTTTAAAAACTTTAATTTACATCAAGAAAAGATTCTTAAAAATTAAAAACACTCATGACATTTGCAATGTGAAAAAATAATAAACCAAGACTCTAATTCACTTCTGATTTGAACTCTGAGATTCTTAGTCAACTGTCGCACTTTTCTGTTCACTCTTTGCCATGCCACAATGAGTTCAAATCAAAATTTATGGCAATTTTAATCTGCAGATGGCTAAAACTAAAGGAACTAAACACTTTATCATTTTCTTTCAGCAAGGCAATATCACACATCATTTATTAAATTTAAATATTTTGAAAACTTACAAGAAAATTAAGGTGGTTACCAAGTCACTTGCAGCAGGGCAATACTTTGTTAATATTTTAATGTTTTAATTCTATTGTTGATAGCTCAAATGTATTATTTAATGTCAATTTATCCAGTCATTGTAGTTGAGGTTAGTGACATCTTGTGATAAAACATAAGCTGTGCATTTCACATAATCCCCACTTAATGCATTAAATCATGCTAATTCACTACTTGCAATTGTTAATTTAGCTGCAGTTATCAAATGACTAGGGCCATATTATTTACATTAGTCTGGCATAAGACTTTTTATACACTACATCAACATATTCAATTTATATCGCTTGTGATGTACTATTTATGTATTATTTTAGGTTTGACTCTTTAGATACTTTTATAGTTTGTGTATTATAGGAACTTATAATATATTGATCAAGTTTTTTCTAGTTCTTTTGTGTTGTTTATTCTACAGAGAAATTCAGCTGTTGAAAAGACTTCATCATAAAAATGTTATAGAGCTTATAGATGTCTTGTACAATGATGAAAAACAAAAAATGTAAGTATACATTATTTACATTTTTCATACTGTTTTCAGAATTATAGATTCTTTAAGATGTAATATTTTTGTAAGCAAGTTTTTTTTTTGGGCCTATATAGTCTCTTGTTGTTTTACTTTTATTACATGTGTTTGTACATTGTATTCATAAAAATTGAATTTAAAATTTTTTTTAGCAATCAAAAAGTCACTAAATATTTTCATCATGATGTTTTCTTGATGCAATTTAATTTTGACCTGATATTATGCAGGTATATAATTATGGAGTATTGTGCTAGTGAGCTTCAGGAGATGCTTGAAAGTGTTCCAGAAAAAAAATTTCCAATCTGGCAAGCACATGGGTATGTCATACTCTTATTTTATAGTATGGTTAATTTTTTTTGTTTATATACATGTTGTTTTTTTTTTTTTTGCCTCTTTTAGTAGCTTAGCTTAAGTCGAAGACTTAATATATTTAAATTTTTCAGTCTAATTTTTTTTTATTCTTTATATTTTAAATAACAATAACATTTTAACTTTTACATTTTTTTGTTTATCTAAAAGGTATTTTTGCCAACTTATAGATGGTTTAGAATATCTTCATAGCCATGGAATCATACACAAAGATATCAAACCTGGTAACTTACTTGTCACAAATGATGAAACATTGAAAATTACTGATCTTGGTGTTGCTGAGGTAAGCAATATGTAAATTGTGAAGCTTATATTGATACAGCTTGAAAAACACAGGATTTTTTAAGTTTATTAAGTTTCCATTATATTGTTTGGTTCTTTAAGGTGTCTCTTGTGAACACGCTGACAGACAACCACAAACGGGTTACGAAAATTCAATATTAACTTAGTTTAATGACTGTCTACGCTATCTACACACACTAAACACAGTTTATTCTAATTAAATGACACAAAAGTAAAACCCAATAGTGGCTACAGAACTAAAGTACACAGTGTATTAACCTACACTAACCTGATAGATGTAAAGTACTGATCAGATATAAACTAAAAACACTGTCATTTATATATATTTGTACAAAAACAAGTACAAAACTGAATATTACCATGTGTATTACAGACAACTCAAACATGAGTGGTGAACATTAGGGGACAGGACAGGTTACTACCTAAAAACATTTCATACTTTTTACTCATTAACTACAGTGTTGGTTTTAATATTGTAGGCACTAGATCTTTTTGCAAGAACAGATGAGTGTCGAACAAGTCAAGGATCACCAGCATTTCAACCACCAGAAATAGCCAATGGTCAGAATACGTTTGCTGGTTTCAAAGTAGATGTTTGGTCCAGTGGAGTGACCCTGTGAGTTTATCCTCATATATATTATATTTTACATTAAAATCGCATTGTGAGTCATAGATATGAACCAACAATTAGTCTTTATTTTATTTTTACGTATAATTAAATGAAAGAAAATCTATTAGTAGAGGGCAGTAAAATTAATAATCAGTATTATGGTTTATTTTTATAGATATAATATTACCACTGGAAAATATCCATTTGAAGGGGACAATATTTACAAACTTTTTGAAAACATTGGTAAAGGTGTTTACTCTATACCTGAAGAAGTGTCTGATTTGTTGGCTGATTTACTCAAAGGTAACAAGATTTATCTGATCATTTCTTTTACATTGGTATATTATATATTGTTACAAGCCTATAGTGCTCATTACTTTCTGGAATTAGCCTAATAGTTTTCATTTTGCATTTGTTTTAATTTTTAGGAATGCTGGCTTATGAATCTGAAGTGAGATATACATTGCAGCAAATTAGGCAGCATCCGTAAGTAAAAATTAAAATCTCATGTGGATTATTAGATTACTAAATTAGGTTTAAATTATTAGTGTTTGACGTTTAATTTTTTACTTATTGTATTCTAGAGTTTGAATTAAAAGTTAATTAGCACATTAGAAAACAAGTAGAATATTTTAAAGTAAGGACAGTATCCTTTAGTTACACATTATGTATATGACATGAATTTCCTATCTTTTGTGTGACAGCTTGTGAACACTTGTGTGTTGAGTTGTCCTTACTTTCCCTGATACTGACCAGTGGTGTGTGGACTTTAGGAGAGATCCTATATGTTCAATCCTTGAAATGCACTTGTCTTATTGGGTTAGTTGTTAGCATTTACCACACAGTCCCATGTAAAGATCCAAAACTTCTTTTTCAGGTGGTTTGTCAAACAGCATCCTAGAGTTTTAGAGCGGGTACTGATTCCTCCACGACAAGATGACCCAGAGGATGTGCTTCGCTCAATGACAGTGATTGGGAGCCTTAATGCTATGCACATGGAGGTGTATGAAGAAGAGCAGGATGGAGAGGTGTTGATGCTTTCAGAATCTCACGTTTGCAATGACAATGATAATTTTATTAATCATGGTAAAGAAGAAAGAAAACTTTTATTTTCCTTTGATGTTATCTCACGGCCTTCATAGCTAATTACTTATATTTTAAGTAAATTTTTATCGCAGATGTTAACATTTAGTGTATTTAAAATGGTTTAAGGTGAAAATGAAACAGAATTTACTAGGCATTAGCAAACTGATTGATTTTTTCAGTTAATAGAATGCCACCCGGACAAAAGTTAGCTGGTTTGAATTTAATTTACATGATCATGTTTCTGTAAAACTAATTAGTCCGTTATTACTATAATATGATTTCCATGTGCTAAGTTAAATATAAACAAACGGATTTATTTTTTATATGCACAGAAGATATTTAACAAATTAAATTTTGTAGTAATCAGCTTTTTAATTCTAAGCGGCCAAGCAACTTTTTATTTTATTAAATTATTTATTTTATACATCCTTTTCCAGCTGTTGACCATGTAGTACCATCTGAGAGGAGAGAGTCTGATGTAGTAGTAGGAGACAATGATTCTTTACAAGCAGCGGCAGCAACAGTGCCACAGAAAAATGGCAAGCTCAAGGGGAAAAAAGCAAACAAAAGCAAGTTTTCTGGGTGTAAACAGTCATGACGTTTTGTTTCAACTGCCCTAGAAGTGCTGGGTTTTTATTACCTCACTGGAGTTGTTTTTTTAAATGCTTTTAGTCATTCATCTCAAAGAGTGCATTGCCTAAATTTTGGAATGAAATTTCTTTTTTTTTTTGTTGTTTTAAAAAAAATGTTAACACTAGGTAACTGCCATCAAACCACTGATGCTCACATTTGTTGACCAAAAACTTAAGAACTCTCTTATTTTGTTTTTTTTTTTTGCTGTGAAAATGTGCATTTAAAAAAGTAATTGAATGTGTGAAAGTGTTTGTTAAGCTCCTTCCTGTTGATTTTATAAACTAGGCAAATTATTGGCTAAAAATTTAATTGATTTAGGCATTTTAATTGCAGTCTTCTGAAACTGTTATGTATGTTATTAAAAATAATGATCAAAGTTGAGAATATTTAAAACCAAGATTATGTATATAACATTTGAGATTTTCTAAAAAATTTAATAATGAAATCACTAGTTGATGGCGTGTTATCAAACCATAAATAATATATATCCATACCTTGTCTAAAAAATGTTTACAATATTACCCAACTATATCCTGCTTTGGTATCAACTCATCAACAGAATTTTTTATCTTAAAAGTCTTAGTTTACTTTCCAGTTTTTTAAATTAATTGTCAAATATCACTGTTAGTATTTATTATTTTGATGTGGAATTACACTCAAAAGTGCTTCCTCATAAGATAGTAACACAGGTCATATTTATATTAAATTACGCCTATAAATGTTAATCTTAATCTGCCAGTGATGTTAATAACTTGTAGAGTGTAGATTTGAATCATGTGCCATGTGTTCATGCTAAAGTCACAATTCGTGCTGAATGAAATCTTGTTATTGACAAATAATTCCCTTTTTTTCTGATATTCTCATTTCCTATTATTTTAGCAGTATGTTAAATAGTGACTTCACCTGACACAGTATTATTGTTTTTAGTCTATCATGTTTTTTTTAATCTGTAGAGACATAAAAGATTTTCCTAGTTTTATATCTTTTTCTTATATCTCTTTTTTTTTAGAATAACTAATTAATTCTCCTAACCCTTCCACAAGTTAATGAAGGATTATTTGTAGATATTTTATTTGCTAATTTAGTTTTTAAACTTTGTAGGAGACGAAGTAATTTTAGTGATCTTTGCAGTTGAAATATTGTTTCATATGTGATTTATTATAAAGCAGTTCTTTCACAGTTGCAAGAAGTAAAGTTAGGAGTATAAGTTTTTAAAATTATTACTTTTCTACAAAACAGGAAACATAATGTTTTAAAAAAAAATTAAAAAGCTACCTGAATCAGTTACCGTAGTCATTTTTAAGTCTTGTGGCATTTAAAATAATAAAGGCTAAGCTTTTTTACACCTACAATTAATGATTTTTTCTATAAGGATTTGCTGAGCCTGATTTTGTTTATAAAAAGTATTTATCAGTCTATAGTTACCTGTTAACCTACATGTAAATATAATTGTTATGATTGGGTACTATGTTAATATACTTAGCCCATTCCTTTTTATGGCTTGTTTTAAAAATATATATAATAAGTTTAGCTGAGATAAGGCCATTCATCTGAGTATTTTTTAGTAAATTATTTTTGAGAAATGAAAAAAAAAATCCAGTGTTAATGTGTAATAATACAACTCCTAGCAGAAACCATTCTAATACAGTTTACTGATTAAAACCTAAAATTTATTCTGCATTTGAAAGAAATTTGACATTATTTTAGTTATATTGGATTTTTTTACATAATTAAATAGCTAGACTAATGAGGATAACTAGTTAACTTATTGTCAGTATTGTTTGTTTTTGTTTTCTTTCTTCTCATAATTTTGGTGATATCATCTGCTAAGAACAGAAAGGGGAACAATAGTCAAGGAGAGATAAGTGCCTTTCTGCTCTCAACTGATACTTTGTATGTATAAATAGTATATGCAAGTAGTAACTCTGGGTTGTATCAACTACTGTTTTTTTTTCAATGAAAAGCATTACAAGGAACATTTCTCTCCCCCAATTCCTAACTTGTGACTGAGCCAGTATGTTGTAGATTAAGGTACTTTGGACTGAATTTTTTTTAAAAGACTGAATTTAAAGAAAAATACTGATTGTTGGTACTTATTCAGTGGTAAAAATATCGTAATGCTTTTGTCTGTGATATGTTTATTAATATGCTCCAGCCATTTCAAATTTTGGCACTTTTTATTTTGGATAATGTTTGTTTTGATTATTATTGTGTGTTTTTGTTATCATAAAGCTATGATGTAAATACAGTACTATTTCATACATTTGTTTTTTGACATACAATTTTATTTTCTTAAGTTAGCACAAAAATAAAAAACTGTAAAGATAAACATGCCATTCCATTACAATTTTAACTGGGATTTCTCATCTTCAGAACCATCTAAATTCATCAATCACTTTTTTTTGATTATATCATATTTCATATGATCATCATATTTCCATTCATAATGTAATTGCTTTTAAAACCATTTTTAACAAAAAGTACATGTGTATAAAATAAAACAAATGCTCTTAACACTTTGTAAAACTTCATATCAATACAATTACAATATTTTATAATGCCAAACTATATAATAAAATAATTTTTAAATGTTTAGTATTCAGAATATCTGCTGTTTTTTTTGTCACTATTTGATTTATTCTACATTCAGTAACATTTTATTGAACATACCAGACAATATGTAGAATAAAGAGTCACATAACTTTCATTTTTGTTGAGCGAGTTCTTAAAATGGACTAAAGAATATTCTTGGCACTCTTGTGTGACATTTTGTGACAGTGTTGTTTGTTTTGTTGTTTAGCTATTACTTTAATTTTTAAAATTCCAAATATTCATTTACTACTATAATCTCTATAACTTGAAGCAAAGAAACAAGTTTCTATTCTCATATCTTAAAACAAAACAGTTTTTAACTAGAATAAATGCCACTGATTTCTAGTCAACAGAGTAAACAATTTGGCATTGCAGTATTGTCTAATGCTGTTTTAAATTTTGAGAAATCTGAAGCAAATCAAATGTGTTTAGTAACTTTAAACTTTAAAGAAGTGAAGCACAAAAGTATGTAGATATCTAATGAATCTCAAAAAATCAATACAAAACAATGTTTAGAACTTTAAACTTAAACCTTCAGCCTTCATTAGTAGTGAAATTTCGTGTGATTTGTATGCAGATTGTAGATCTAGTAAAACATTTCAATAGTTTTCTTCTCTTAATTAGATTAACAATTGTTTTTATTTATTTCACCAATTTTATTGGGGGGGGGGGATTATAATTTGGTTTAATTGTAGTTGAATTAATGCACTAGTAATAATAGATTCTAGTATTATTAGACAAAGTATAGGCCTAGCTTCAACAATTTTATAATGTGTATGGGAGGCTACTCTCGAATAGTTTACTGAAAGCGTTAGTCGTTCAGATAAATCTAAGGGCAGTCGGTACAATAACATTTAATAACAATGGCCGTCAGCCTCATTAAAAAACTGTCCACGAGAGAAGTAAGTTTTTTCTTTCTTATAAGTAAGCATACAAAAGCAAAGCATTCACAGTAGAATAGAGGTAAACATGCGAGAATGCATCGTGCATTCATTTAGATCGAAATCTTCTTTTTTTTTTTAATAATCTGGATTGAATTAAAATTTTGGTTTGCCGAGCACCAAGCCCAGCAATTCTTTTCTTTTTTATTCATTTATTCAGTGAATTTATTTGATTTGAGTTGTTTTGTAACTTGTAGAGACTAGGGCAGGGTCTAGATTCTAGATCTATCTGTAGTCTGTAGATAATAGTAGATATTAGATAATATTAGATCTAGACTAAATTCCTAGAATAAATTTAATTTAGATCTAGAATTCTCATAGTCCAGGGGTGGGCAATTATTGTGGCACCATGGCCACTTTGTGGTAGCGGATTTTAGCGGAGGGCAGCACCGTTTAAAATTATTGTATTGTATTGTTAAGTTAACATTCCATTTCGGTCGCGAACATGTAGCAATGTAGCAAATCTCAGTTCAAGGCGGGGTTTTCTGAATGTCTGGCGGGCCACAAAAAACTCTGTGGCTGGCCTCACTTTGCCCAGCCCTGCTCTAGTCTATACTTTTTATAGGCCTATCTAAATTTTACGTTACTTATCAAATAAAGATACACATAAGAAAAAAAAAAGAACAGAAAAGAAATCTAGAATTCTAGATTTTAGAGTAGAGTTAGATTCTTAACTCTTATCAGAAAACATTGCTCGTGCCTTTTATTTTTGGAAGAAAATAAACATCCCAGCGTGTAAATAAACCACTGTATTTAAACCTACAACACTGTGGTCATCCATATAAGTGACATTATTTTTAAAGAATTTCATCTCTGTCGTCCCCCCCCCCCCCCCCCCCACCTTCCCTAACGTCACACATCAGGACTAAAAGTCATAACCCAACACATAAAATAACACCACACTCTAGCCTAGCAGCTCTCTCTAAATTGTAATTTATAAGAAAAACAGCAATTTTTTTCTAGATTTTTTACTGAGCCCGTCAATATTGAGTAGGTCTAGATTACTTTTATTGAAATTTTAAAAAAAATGTACCAACAGCAAGCAGCGGCTGAAATTCAGTTTCCAAATTTGCAAAAGCTTATTGTAACACTTTCTAAATCCCTCCGTCTGCCCCTCTAAAGTGTGGTGTCATTTATTGATGACCACTAATAAAAATAGCACCTCTATGAAGTAAACAGAAATATTGGGCACGAACCCAAGAATGCTTTGTGACTTTGTGACCTATAAATCTTGTAAATGGTAATATTAATTATTAAAATACATCCATCTTGGACAGAGAATAACACTAACTGTTAGCACAACCCCCCCCCTTAACCCCTTTCCCTCCCACACACACACAAAGTGTTCAATACTTTGCATGAGTTTTTTGTAGGTAATGGGGATAAATCATTGAAATAATATATTTATACTTTGACATTTAAAACTTACTCATTTTTCTCTGGTACACTGTAGATCAACTTTTAATATTAAGTTTTAGTCATAATATTAAACATCACAAAATATATTAAATTCATCCTAATAATTAATAGTTACACAATACATGTTATTAAAATAGTGTTATATTCACTTGAGTAGTAAATCTATTGAATTAAAATTTACTTAAAAATATTAGTTTAAAGTTAAAGTAAAGAAAAACATAATTTAAAATCTTTTTTAAAAATCAAGATTTAGCATTTTATTTATTCAATGAGTCATTATCCCATGGTAGTTTAAATTTGGCTTGAAAATTCCATGTTCATTTTTTAAAAATATCAAATGTCTGGTTTATTTTTTCTACTACTACTGGTCTTTTAACATTGCATCCAATATTTCAGTTAACAGGTCGTTTTAGCCTCCGTAAATCAGAATCTCAGTGGAAACCCTTTTCTAAAATACCTGGACGATTATGCTATAGACTGAAATACTTGGTTCCATCATGTGTGCTAGATGAAGGGTAAGTTTATTTATATTACAGTTGGTTGGTTGTCATATTCTAATTTTGAAACTTTTTTTAATGTTATAAAAACTTATGTTTAGCAACAAATAAAAAAGTAGTCTTTCCACTGCGTTCTCTGGCAGGATGAAGGTTAGCTGCCTTCATTTCTTCCAATTCAATTTTGCTTGTTTCTATTTTAGCAGTTGAAATCTGGGAATTATTAAGGACCAAACAAGAAATCCTAACATAGCTAGTAGTGGCTGGTGATCACTTACTTGATTAAGCCTTTCTTAAGTCAAACTTCTAAAAACTTGGTACAAAAATTGTTTTCCTATAAACTTGAAAAAAAAGTTGCGAGTTCAGATACATTGTGTTTTGACATCTGCTTAAAAGAATCTTAATTCTGTGATTCTCTTGTATTTTAACAGCTTTTCTTGAGAAAATTTTTAAAAAATTAATCATTTAAACCTATTATTTATTTTTCAGGTATGTGTTTCTAGGTTTCAGTAAGTCTGGACAGTTTGTAATATCCTACTCTTTACAAATAGATGCAGATGAGCACTCATTATACCCCGATCATGTTTACAGACTACAGTGGTGGCTCTTTATTCCATGCAAAAGATTACAATTGGTAAAGTTAGCCTAATATATTTCCTTGTCACTCAAAGACTTATATTCATTCTTTAACACAAGCATACTTTATGACATTTTGAAAATAAATATTATTTGAAATTATTTTTTAGTATATACTGTTTCATGAAAACAAAACCTCTTTATTTTGATGTGTGTAGGTATCTGAAGTTCGACTGTTTGGTGAAGACAATATTTTTCACTCTTTGTTTATTGCCTATTGTGAATGGCCTGAAGACAGAACCAAAATTACCATTTACGGCCATAGGTATGTTTACTGAAGTCGTCAAGTGATTTAAAAAAAAAAATTTTAATTAATTTATGTACATCACTTACAATTTTGTTTTGTTTTACCTTGTGTTTTAGTACCCTGTCATAAACTTATGTTTTTGTTTGCATTGTGTTTTTAGTACCCAATCATAAGTCATAACTGATTTTTGTGTGTTTAAGTACATTATCATAAAGCTTAGCTTTTGTGTTGTCTTGTACTGTAGTACTCTATCATAAGCCATTATGTTTATTGATTTGCTTTTAGCACACCACCTGCTGGAGAAGATGGCTGTCAGTGTTATCTGACTGTGACTGCAGTGCCATCACTTGGGGAATGTCATGACTGTCAAATGCGATCACATGGTTTGTTCTGATTTCTCCAATTGTTTGGTAGTAAAATAAAAGAAGAAAACATCTATTCAGGAACACACTTTTGCAGAGAGCTTAGCTTAATAATTTTTTCTTAAACTAATAATACTTGAAAATAATAAAAAATACTTTTTACTTGACAAAAAGTAGAAATTACAAGTACTCAGGCTTACCTTAATGTGCCAAGTACCAAGTCTAGCTTAATCCATAATACCTGACCTTTAAAATAACACACTGGCATTTTATTTCAAAGGTCAGAATTGAATCAGTTACAAACAGATATACAATCCTGTGGTATTTAAAGAAATTGATCATTAATTTTTTCACAGTTGTTGCGCAAGTCCCTTCTATACAGCAGTGCCTTCGTCACAGTTTCTGTGTGCACTCCAAATTTGAGCTGGCACCGCCTTTCCCCTTTTTCTCACCCAGGGTGCAGTTGCGTGTTGATGGTATAGCAGTTCTGAACACTGGAGACTCAATTGTTGCATTACAGGTACTTGAAGAAAAAAAAAAATTTTCACTTTGGGCTCGTATATACTTTATGGTTCATAGCTGTTTTAAAGTGCAGCTTTATAGAATGGAAATGGGATGGAGTGGTCTAGCAGTAGAGAGCTGAACTGCTAAGTAAGTCTCGAGTTCGAATCCGGGTTGAAGTCAGTAGACCGTCCCTGAGTCCATCCAACTCTGATAGGTACCTAATTCACATTAGGGAAAGTAAAGGCGGCTGGGCATAGTGCTGACCACACTATGCCGATGCCACAGAAACAAGTAATCTCTACTTCACTTGCCCTGTAGACCATCAGGTTTGAAAAGGAAACATTACTTACTACTATAGAATGGAAACATATAAAAAAAAAATTTAAGTTGCTTATCTTTTTCTATGACTATGGTCTTCTGAACCCTACATCAAATAATATCAGCCACTGATTATAGAGCTAAGTGGGTTCTGTGTTTGCCCCAGGATCTAAGTGCAACAGGTTTTGAGACCAACAACTACCATAGTTTACGACTAGCCTTTTAAATTTACTAACTTTAAATATAATTGAGAATATATTTTCGGTCTACAGTAAATGCGTATGTAAGACAAAATTTTTGGAGTCTTCATTTTCATTACATGTAAATATTTTGCATAGTTTTTTACAAAGAGATTTCAACTATATATTCTGTAAACATGTTTGCTGTTTGTTATTTCGTACTTTTGTTTTGTTTACAGGTTGATACCCAGCTCCCACTGAACAGTTTTGACACCGAGGGCCGTCTGGCTATGGATCAAGAGGAAATCCAGTCCAAAGCTGGTTTAGAGAAAGTGATCCTTGGGGCAGATCTCTCCATCTTTGGCACAGTGAGCACATACTTCACAGAACAAGAGGAACCCTGTCAAGATCTCAGCCCCAAACATCGAAACAGTTCTGACTCTCCTCTTTTAATCGAAGAGGAGGGGGAGAATTTTTACTCTGCTGACATATCCGAGCACAGCGACACAGATCAGAGTGAATCAAAATCCACAAAATCCAGCTGTGATAGGTCCCGGCCGTCATGTGACAAATGTTTATTTGGGGCGGGCGGGAACCCTAAGCCTGGCTCAAACTGCGGCTGTTCCCTTGTTTCTAGCCACCGGCCAGCATTACGAACAAAAAACCTGAGCAACAGTAACAACGAAACAGCATTGCCAGTTAAGACTAGTTCCAGTCACTGCCACCCTAGTCATGAATGCCTTTCTCCAAAGTCACCCAGGTCCCCGAAAAGCTCGGGTTGTACAGACTCAGCCAACAGAGTGTCACTTCTCTTTGGCCCATCTAATTCCAGTAACATAAACCATGTTTCCAGTAGCATATCTGTGATGACTGGGCCGCAGCCCAATGAAAGGTTAGCAGAGCTGGCTCAGGCAGCGGAAAATATTATGTCACCTCCACCACCAGTTGTTCAAGTAAGACCTTTTAAAAAAAAATTTGATACTTTTGCGTATACATGCCATTTTAATATATTTACTGCATGTTTGGGTGGTCAAGTGTACTACTGCTAACCTGAAGTTCTCGAGTTTAGAATAGGGCTCGAACATGAAAAATGTCCCCGAGTCCACCCAGCTGTTATGGGCACCTGACTTAGGTTAGGGATAGTAAAATTCACCTGCCCCAAGGACCTTCAGGTTTGAAAGGGTACTTAGAGGTCGGCGTGGTCGAGTTTGTAAAGCTCATGGTTGCTAAATCAAAAAGTCTCGAGTTCGAACCCTCGGGCAGATGAGGCTCGTTAGCTGGGGACAGCCACTCTTCTAGGAGAGACAACTCCAAAATCAAACAAAAATCTTGGTTGGACAAAGGCTATGAAAGCAAATCCAAAAAGAAAAGCAGGCTGAAATTAGAATCAATGGCCCATAACCAGTTAACGCATATACTTAATAGTGGTGGAGGGAATCCAACATTAAAATTAAGTATGAAGAAGAAGAAGAAGAAGGGTACTTTAGTTTTAAAAAATATATTTGGTAACTGTAGCAGTAAGATATTTGGATTATTTCATCACTATAAAGAACCCACTACCAGACAAACATGTTTTATTTGACAACCAACAGCTGTGTTCTCATATAAATTTTGTATAAAATTGAGACTTGTCTCGTAAAAGAAGCTTCATTAACATCTTCTTTTGTCTAAAGTTAATTTATTCTCTCACTTGTGTTTTATATTTACATATGTTGTATAATTTAGTGCTACATTAGTCTTTGAAGACTAGGATATTTGATTGTTGTAGTTTTCTCAGATATTATGTAGCATTCTTAAAATAAATACTAAATAAAATAATACTGTATTCTTTTTTTACATCATGTTATACTGTAATAATTAAAATACTTGAACAATAGGAATTTAATATTAATTTTTCCTCAAGAAACTACTTATCTTTTTTGGAAAAATCATATTTTAAATAAAATTTACATGTTGTTAAAAGCATGTCTTAGTATAACAATTTTTTTTTCTGTAGGTCCAAAGCCCCAGCATTGAAATCAGTAGCAACAGAAGTCAAACCGACCTGGAAGATTTGTCGTCCATACGCTTGTCATCCCAGCGCTCTTTCTTCTCCCCCAGCAGCAGTGCTGCGTCTGACTGCCAGTCTCAGAGCTCAGAAAGTGTCATAGTTCACACCACACACACCCGCACCGTCACATTCTCAGTGCGCAGGTTCTCCACATGTAACCAGGAGGCTGAGGCTGAGTCCCCCACACCAGCTGAAGGTGAGAGGCTGTTGTGCTATCTAATGACTTACTAATTTCTCTATTATGTGACGTAAAGTGATAAAAACTATTGGAAATCCAAATGTCTCAACATTCCAAAATATTGCTGTTCTTGCACAGTTTACTAAGAACAGTATTACTTTATTTTGTCCTGACTAGTACAATATGTTGTTTATCTAATTTTTTCCACCTTTGAATCATCAAATATATTAAAGAAAGAGAATGCCAAATAATAAACATACATGTACATCAAGCATAAAGTGTATGAACATTTTTGACTGTAAACAGTTTGGTCTGAAAATTATGTTTTACTTTAAACATATTTACATAAAGATTGTAAGGATGAACACAAGGCTACAGTTTTGTAGTGTTGATATCTCTGTTTTTTTTTTGTAGCTGTTGTAAGTAATAGTGGATGGATTGTGTTGAGAGTTATCATGAAGTATTTCTTTCTTCAGATGATTATGACCTGGCATATAAAAGTATTTTGCCTGTGCAAGTGGTTTGGAATAAAATGCCTTTGAACATTATCAGAACTGTTAGAAGTGATATGTCTTTGGTGAGTAATCCTGTCCATTTACAATTTTGTGTTTGTAAAGTAGGAATTACAAAATATTTTTCAATGCAATGATTATTTATTCATTTTTTATATCAAGATCAAGTTGTTCACTTTTTCTTATTTGTATGAATCAAGAGTGATTAAATTAACTTTGTTGTAAATTTTCAAATTTAGAGTTTTATGAAAGAAATATTTTTTTTGTCTTAGATTACTGTACTACAGATGACATTTGATATTGAGCACTATATGGTTGAAGCCATTAGACATGATGCTGACTGGAGCCAACGTTACGTGGCATTTTGGAACTATGATCTCCAGATTTTAGATGTAAGTCTGCTGTAGTCATTAAATATTAATTAGGCTCGCACATTAAAATAACTTTTTGTCACTTTTATCATTTAAAAAAAAAAAAAAAAAAAAACTTTACAGAAAAAGTTATTTGGAAATACAATAGAGTCTTGACAGTACAATGCTTTTATTTATTTGCTAGGTGTGTCCAAACAGTCAAAGTGTGTATGGTACAGTATATGCATTGATACGAGCCAAAGATACATTAGACAGGAGTAAAATGAGGTATTTTTCTCTTCGCTTAATGTACATAAACATTCATTTTTAAGTTTATAGAAAAAATCTATATCTCTGTTAGAAATAAAATACTTCAGTGGTGTATTCCATACTGTGGCAAAAATGTTTTAAATCAATAATCATTATTTGTTTAAGAGATATACTTTAGAATTATTTTTTTTTATTGTATTCATTGTTTTTTTTTAGTATGAATTGCGAGAGAAAGTAAAATAAAAATGATGTCATTGCCTTATTTTATTTGTAGTCGTATGATGGTGAAATTATATCAAACACAGTTTACCTTTGTCTTCAACTTATGTACAGGTAAACTAGTATATTGGTTGTTTATGGAATAGTTTAGTTGCTTCTTAAAAAATCCACAATACTCATTGTGTTCCATTAAATAAAAACAACACATTGTTGTTTTGATATGTAAAGTAAAAGTTTTTCTTTACAGGGTTGTATTCCACACTTTTTATTGAACCTTTATCTGAGGTGGATGAAAGAATACTAAGGGGGTGAGTTATCAATACAATGGCTATAGGTGTTATTAAAAATATTCTAAAATTTTTCATTAATTTACATTCATAATGTTACCATGGTGGTCTGTGGTGCAGATGGAGTAGAGTTCACCTGTTTATGTGACCACTGCACATGAAGGGATGGTTTAGTCAGCATTACACTCAGCTGTCTTTACCACCCCTAACGTTAAACAGGTACCCATTAAAACTGGGTGGACCCAGGGACGTCTTACAAACTCAAGCCTAAAATCCAAACTCTGGACTTTTGGGTTAGCAGCCATATGACCACACAGTTCCATATTAATAATAACAATAAAGATTTAATTGCAAATTAGTCAGAAAATAATAAAGATTTGAATTATAAACTGAAATTAGTGGGCACAATAATGAAGCTTTGGATGGTACACAGAACTATAAGAGTTAGTAGAAAGAAAAATGATTCATGATTTTTATTTTTGTATCATACAGTCGAGACTGGAACTCACCAGGGAGTAAAGAATGTTGTCTTTTACGCCGCAAAGCAGCTGTTCCTCAGTCATTTTATACAAGTGTTCATGTCCTTTCCAATGAAGCTGTGTTTAAAGGTAAGTGCAATTATTATTATTATTTAATATTACTATTAGGTAAAGTATTTTTAAAAATTAATTCTTTTAAGTGTCATGCAAGAATTAAGTTGTAAAAGTCATCTGTTACAGAATGTAATATAGTTTATATTGATTGCTTAGACTGTTAGCTTAAAACCAAATGTATTATTTTGGTTTAATAAACATATGTTATGCTGATTTTTTAACAGATAAGTCATTGTCAATGCTGGTTGCACCATATCAGTACACTGCCATCATGTTGTGAATGGAGAAAATATTCTGGCTTTACAAGTAACAAGAAGTTTGGTGCTCAGCAATTAACCAAATGTAGTATAGCTAGTTTGGCTGAGAACTTCAACCTTTAAAAAATCGCTAAGCCTTACTTTAGTACAACTCAGAGGATTAAATTATTATTGTTTATCTGCGCTGTACAAATATTTGGGTATTGCTCATCAGTAAGATCGGGAAATATTAAATAACACTGTTCAGAATAGATAAAAGTTTTTACATGTAGAAAAATTTAAATAATAATGCGAAGTGCATGTTGTTATTGATTCATTTTAAAAAAAATATCCCAATAAATGATTAAATTCTCTTAGTATCACTGCTGAAGTTAATTTATTATAAACAATTGAATCTCTAAGCTTGTAGATGCTTTACCTTTTACTTGTAACATTTTGTGTGTGCAGGGCTATGCTCAACAGTTTGTTTAAATATAATGGCTTGGAGCAAGAAAAAATATAAACACATTTTAATATTTTAAAGTATGTCTTTGAATTTTTACAGTTAAGCTCTAAATTTAAAGTACACCAGTAAGTAAAAATGTTTTTTTTTCTATATTGGGGTAAATACTACTTTTTTTAAATTAGCATTTCCTTCTAATATATTATAACAAAGAACAAAGTAGTGCGGCTGATGGATGTTTGGTCTTATGATCTAAAAAATTTTTTCCATTCATAGACTTATCAAAAACCACTCATATCATTTTACTATCACACATTATATTATCTACATTATGTTTTAGTATGTCACCTTGATTGTAAAGAACAAGTGACATCAGTTCTGACATCAATTCACTGTTAAGTACAGATCATTACTTCCCCTTACAATTATTTCTCATTACCTCCCCTCACAAATATTTGACACACCTCTTGACTGTGTAGCACAATAACCTTTAATGTAGACTTTTTTAAGAATCACTGAATGGATCTCACTATTACATTTTTTAATGTTGATGTATTAAAATAAACACTGCTTTGTAACTTGGTGATACATTAAAACTTTGATGTACTGTAGACTTTCATTTGTAATGTTCAGTAGTTAAATTGTAGTATGTGATTTGGGGATGCGTATACATACAAAATTTTGAATGGAGCTATTCCTTAAGGTAGTTTATTTTTACATACACTTTTTCTTTGTTTCAAGGGCTTCTAGGCTCATGATTTCATAGGTAACATTTTGACATGAAATCTGTTATGTGACTTTAAAAATTCAGCTTTTACCTAGTAAGGATAAATAGCAGAGACCTCTCAATATTTGTTTAAATACTATTTATAATGTAATTGATTACAATAATAATCATACACTCATTTGTGGATTTAACTGAAGCAGCAAACCTGTAGTATCAAAATTATTGAAAGAATGAGTTGGGGAAAATGTTGAAATTCAGTATTTTATCTGTCATTTATTTTAAGGAATGTGAATAAATGAACAACTAATTTACAATCTGCTCGTAAGATTTTTCAAAAATAATAAATGAAGGTATAATTTTGTTTATATTCATCCCACATGAGGTTTGAACAATAATTTTATTTTTAAACTAATTTTTTCATTTTTTTTTTGTTTGTTTTTTATTTTGCTCCCCGAAAATATTTTAAATTTAATATTCAAATCAATTTTCAAGTGATGTTAATGTTAAGTTTATATTTCAAAGCTGAGTTATTTAATTCACTGTTTTAATTAAGCAGGCCGTTGGATGCATTCCTGTGTTATGAATGTAAGATCCCAATGGTTGAAGTTAAACGTACTGTGTAATCAGTGTTTAGGTTTCATTTTGGTTTGCCTCATTGTAAAATGTACTGCTGCTAACCAGTATCAACCCAAATCAATACATTCCTGCTCATATCACACACAGACAGCATAATGTTGTGCATGTGTGATATTTAACTCATCCGCATAACCACACACACATAGGTTCCCTTTCAATTTTGTTCATTTAGTTCCCCGCATCCCCTTTCCCCAATTTTTATCTAGAAAAAATATCCATACCAGTCCTTAACTCAGTGTGTAGCCTTCATTTTTTTTTTCTCTTTAACCCCTAGTGTTTAACTAACACTATGGTGGGAAAGAAAAAAGCATGATAATGAATATCCACATATTTAAAATATGTTTTAAAAATTTTCTATTAAGCCTATGTGGCATTGTCAAATTATTGAACAAATTGAAATTTTTAGAATATTTTATCTTTTCATTTATTAAAAACACTTTTTTTTTGTTAATTGGTAAAGTATTATATTTCAAAGTTAAGCAGGTAGCTTTATGTTCTTTTATTTCCTTGAAATGTCTTTTAATGATTGATTGCAGTGCTATTTATTTGCTAAAGTGTTATGATTGGTGCTCTATGCTGTAATTTAAAACTGTGCACCTGGTTTCAGTAGCAAGCTTGCTGATTCAGTGTAAACATTTTATTTTTAATTGACCCTTTTGACAACTAGAGGGGGCATTAATTTGTAATTAAGTTTTTTTTAGTGTGTTTAAATTACTAATTTGATACTACATAACTCATTCCAGGTGCCATTTTAACCTGATGTGATGCAACTGTTCAGGGTAACTGAACTACAAAAAAAAATTGAAGTTCAGTTTGTAATTATTTTTTTATTAATTAATTTCTCTTTGTATTTATTGATGTCATTTTCATTATATGTGTGTATCTTTTTTTATACATTAGACTTAGGTTGAATTTTCACAAACTGGTGGTTAACTGCTCACAAGCCTGATGTGGTTAACTATTCACAGGCCTGATGTGGTTAACTATTCACAGGCCAGATGTGAAATATACAATACCCATCTTCCAGATAGGCAAGACATTAAAATTTAAAAGTTGATCTGTATCAGTGATTCTACTACATTATCATAGTTATTATTTTTTAAAATAATTATGGTCAACTTCTGGCCCACTGTAGAAGTTATGTTATTCAAACTTCGATAACACATGTTACTAAATTTGTTACATGTATTGGCATATCATTTGTGTATGTAAATAAAAGTTTCTTACTGTTAAACTAGCTGACACTTAAATAACATTGTGCTGCTGCCTAGGAAGCAGCTTTGTTGATCATCCATGCTTCACGTTCCATTTAGGACATATTTCGTTGGACAACAGTATTCCATTGTATAGGCACTGGTACAAAGATTTTGTGCAATGTCTGATTTATTGTTCTTAAAATGCTTGCTTGTTGTCTCTAATTTAAATATTTGTCCCTGTATTTTTAATGTTTGAATATAACAGGGACATTTTTTTTAGCTACCTTCTCGTAATTGACAAAAAAGGCCTTTAATGTTGACTTACACTCAGCTTTTTTAAAAGAACAAGCATTTAACTCTTATACTATTATTACCTAGCACATAAATCTCTTCTTAAAAATTACCCAAGTTGAGATGCTAAAATGTACACAAAATTAGTATTTTTGTTATACCAAGAAAGTTTTTAATTACATTTTTGTAAGGTACATAGTATCTAATAGTTTTGTTTTGTTAATAATTAGATTTACTTGACATGATTTTTAAATTATTTGATTATGTTGTAAAAAAATACAATGTTGTTTTATTCTTAAAATTAAAAAAAAAAGTTATTGTTTTTTTTTCTTGTTGTTTGTCTTTTTTAAAAACACGTTTTACCTCAAACCTAATTAATAAGTTTCTTTTGTTTGTTTATTTTTTGTTAAGTAAACCTTAGTTGTTTATTATACTCCAACAAAGCAGGACAATAGCGGGTTTTTTTTAATTGTGGAAAGGGTGTTGCACACAATAAAAGAAATGCACTTCCAAGTACATCTTAATTTGAACTTCATCAAGACATTACATATTATTAACCATACACACAGGGTTTTCAAGCACCAAACCATAGCTTTTTATGGCTTAAAATAAATGATGAGTGCACATGACAAAGGTTTACATATTTTCTATCTATAATTTTTTGCCAACACCCCCCCCCCCATACACACACATTTCCCACCACAACCTCCCTTAAATCTCAGTTAACTGATTAGTTCATTATGTAATTAGTTTTATCTTTGTAATAAAAATATCTGAATTTGGCACTTTGAAAAAAAATTGTTTTAGCTTAATTAGAAATAGACTAGCATATAAGTATAATATGGTAACTTTTAACCAACACCTTTTTAATTTTTAACTTAATTTTTTTTTTTTAGACCAAATAAAAATGTGAATTCAAGTTTTTAATGTTGTCTATAACTTCCGGATTTAAGTTTTAAAATTACTCACTTTCACTTTCTAATAATAGTTAAATAGCACTTCATTTGATCAAGAGTTGTAGAATAGATCAGATCTACACATGATTTTTTTAAATTTCATAGGGTACTCTGTTATGATATCTCAAGATTTAGAATAGATCTCTCTAGACAAAGTGTCGTTAGAATCTATTCAGTTAATTCCAGTAATTTGGTTGTATCCGAATTTGCCACATATAAATTAACAAAAAGTGTCAAAAAGTGAGTTTGAAAGTGCCAAGAAGTGGCTATCGACGTCGTACGTTGTAACTTTAACGTTGGCGTGACCGTGCGAACGTTTAGTAACGTAGCTGCGTAGGCTTAGCGCCTTAGAGAGTAATGAAATGATAATATTATGAAGTACATTTATAAATAAAATCAGGCCTAGTCTACTGTAGTTGACTACTACTACTAGATCTAGACAGTAAAGTAGATTTTCTAGTGAAACTACCCGTCAGATAAAACAGAATCATGGAAGAGGAATTCTCCTTTGTTGATTTGTCCAGTACACAACTGCAAAACATGAGCTTGAGTTCTGAGGCAGATTCAGAGCTTCTGTCTCCAGTAAGTAGAAACTAGAAACTATTTCACCTCATTAATTAAATAAAAGGGCCTATTCATTATCTATTCTAATCTACAGTTTACTTGATTGAACATACATTGATTCAACATGGATCTTGATCTATTTTAAAGAATTTTTAGTAATTTTTACTAACAAAGTGACTACTTGGAAGAAGCTTCTGCACCCAGCCGCTGGTCTGGCAGACAGGCAGGGTAAAACTCCATTTTAGCGTATTTTATTCGCTGCTACAAATTCACCTCTGGTTCAGCATATTTTATTATCAACACAACCAAAACACACAAACACGTTAGAAAAACACTAGGATTAGTTAGAGCTAGATATACTTTTTTTTTATAAATGTGAGTTTTAATTACAAAAGGTAAAAAAAAATGAAAAAGCATTAGGACAGCTCGAATTGAATAGCGTGAAAAAAATCCCTACACGGTCGAGGGTTCACCATGAGTTCACATTGACTTTAATTATTAGCATATGTCATGAACATACATACATAGTCATAGCTCATTCAATATTCCAAATTTGGATTTTTCTAAAGTTTTGACAGCCGTAAATTATCAAAAACGAAAACAAAAATTCATAAAGAAATAAGCCCAATGTTTTCCTAATGTTTTTGTGTGTTACGGTTGTGTTTATAATAAAATATGCTCAACTGTAGGTGAACGTGAAGCGGGGAATAAAATATGCTAAAATGGAGTTTTACCGACAGGCAGAGTATAGCTGCATGGAAAATTATGCGTCTAACTATATCTACCATCTTTTAAGGTTTAAGATTTTCCTTTCAGGCTGAACTTGTTCCAGAGAGTGTAATGCCTTCAACAACAGCAGAGCTTGTTGGAATGTTGAAGCAAGCAGGAACAGAACTCACTATCAAATATATAACAGGTTTCATAATTTTCATTCATAAAATATCATACATTCATTTTTAAGCTGTAAATACTGTTACCTTACAAACTGGTTTAGAAAATATAATTCTATTGTGAATATTTAAAAACTGCTATCGTCAGTCATCGTCAGTGTTTTGCTAAGTTTAGTGTTAGGCTATAACAAGAGCTACCATTTTATTATACTTAAGTTGTCAGGGCATTGTCCATTGAAGACTATTTAGCCAGCTTAGTCCATAGTTTTGCCCCAGCTAATGTCAGGCACCTATTTCTGCTGGTTGAACCCCAAGGCTTTTCAGCTTTTGTAAAAAATTAAGACAGATAAATTTTGCATAGTTTACTGTCCCAACATTTCATTTCACAAACTGTTACATCCTTAAATGAGGACCAGGAAGAATCTAAAAAATGTTTAACATGTTATTAAAGTTAAATGTAAGTAAGTGTTAAAAAAAATATTTTATATTTGTAAAAGGGGAAATGAGCTTTGAAGACTTTTGCCTGGAGCTGGAGAAACTGAAGCCAAACAAATCACCATCCAAACCAGCTTCAGCTTCCACTCAGAGCAGTTCTAAATCAATTTTCACCATGGGATCAGTCCCATCCATCAGCAAGCAGGTTGATGAAGGGGATGAGGAAGACATGGAAGAGGAGGATGATGACGATGAAGAGAATGAGGAGGAAGAGGACAGTGAATTTGTGGATGCTGGTGAAATGGTGGACAAGCATGACGAGGAGTGGATCCCAGGGGCCAAGTTCCAAAAACTTGAGAAAGGTTGGATGAAGAAATATTTCTTGTTGTTGCCGGAATTTAAGAAAGTATAAGTAAGAACTTAACTGTTTGAAATTTCTTATTTCTATTCTTCGTTCTTAATTTTAATGTTTGATGGGATTTAATTAGACACAATTAAGAATAACATATCATACACCATTTTGGCCGTTGACTCCAATTCCAGTATGCCTGAATTATACGATTTTCATAATTAGTTATAACCACTTAGGCTAGTGCATAGCTTGACCTTTCTTTTTTAATGAGGCCATTGTAAATATGCCATATTTTAATTTATAGACAGTGTTTTATGTCCATTTCAACAATAAATACTTCAATTGTTTTTGTGTGCAAAGTATGCAACGATACTTAACAGTTATCAATACATTTTTTTTACGTTTTATGAAGGTTACCTGTTTCTAGTTACTGAACTAATTTTCATCAATAAAAAAATAAAGATTTTTGTTTTTAATTCATATTGTCATAAAAATAATTACTTGTACAAGTTATGTAAATAACTAAATTAAATTACAGGGTGAATAAATGTAATTCTAATTATTTGAATCTTTCTAAACAATAATGAATTTTAAATTACTAGAGAATGTCATCCTGTTTTGAGTATTTCCTATTATCGACCAATTAAAAACAAATCTCGTGTTAAATATCTCTGCAGGCAAACGAGGAAAACCCAAAGAAGCAAAAGGTGAACTGAAACATGTTGAGTTTAAAAAGCCGCGCAGAAAGGTACAATCGTTAGGATTCTTATACTTTTGTATCTTGGTTTAGGCTGTGCTTTACAATACATACGTGAATACTTAATGTTAGGTTATTATAGAAACATTTACTACACTGCAAAAAATGAATGTTATTTTGTGAAAGAAGAAAAAAAAAATTTTGAAATCTATACAAACAGGGTTTGAGAGTATTCAAATGTTTACTTTTGTTTTGAATCATAGAGACGCAAACTTTTTGATTTACCAAAAGATCTGGCTGGTATCAATGGACGTGCCATGCTCTTGCGAGCACAGGGTAAAACAGACGAGGCTGTGAATTTATTGTATGAAATTATAAACAGAGGTAAGAATCATAGACTTCTTGTTTGAAACAAGCAAACTCCCAGCACGACTACCATTACTATATTAACTTTATGTGTTCGACTTTATGTGTTCAAACATTGTAATGATGTAAACTGCTTTATAAACCTATGTATCACAGCTACAAGCAAGATATTTTCTTTTTACAGCCCCAAAAGCTGCAGCACCGTATCATGCTTTAGGAAGTATACATGAAGAGAAAGGAGATATACAACAAGCTCTTAAGGTTTTATTTTTGTCGTTGTTGTAAAAGATACTTTTATTAACTATCATATTAAGACCACAGAGCTAGGTGAAATAGAGTTCATCTGCTTAGTTTCTAGGTCTGAATAATATTCATGGTTTTCCAGAGTAACTGCTAGGAACTGACCAACTTTTGCACTGTCTTGTTACCTGAAACTGTTGAAATTTTTATTATACAAACACTACTCTATCAAGTGGGACAACCAACCGTAGTGTTACATATTAAATCCAAAACTCAGCCAAAAACAATTTTAGCTAGCATCTTGGGAGACAAATGCAGTTAAAAGTTTTGCTTAATGTTAGAAAGCCTTTAATTTTTTTTTTAAAGGTGAAATTAATATTTATAAAATAAAATATTTAAAAAAATTATTTCTTGGGTAGCTTTAAAATTTTAAAACATGTTTTCTATAATGTGTGGTCAGCATAGTAGTTTATAGTAAACCATAGCACTTCCCACTCAAGTTAAGGCATAAAACTGACCACTCTATCCTTTCATATGCTGAGGTTACAGCCACAGTTGCACTGTACTTAATCAGCGCTATTGACTCTTAGGTTAGAAAGACTAACTAAATAATGAGTAATTGGCCAGAAGAAGAAGAGTTCATATGTTTCTTGACCTCAGCATATGAAGGGAAGGTGTGGTCAGGACTTTGCCCAGTCGCCTTTACTTTCCCTAACATGAGTTAGGTACCCATCAGAGCTGGGTGAACTCAGGGACTTTCTCCTGACTTGAACCTGGATTTGAACTCGAGACTTACTGGTTAGCTGCCTAACACTCCACCGCCATCCTATTATTAGCACATGAGCAACATTAAAAAAGTTAGTTTATTTTAATTTTATTAATTAACCAATGTGTTTTCAATTCAGTTTTACATGGTGGCTGCAAACCTTCGAGGCCAATACGCCACAGAATGGATGGAATTGGCCGAAATGTGTATTAATTTAAATGATGAAAAAATGTCCACCATCTGTTTTCAAAAAGGTAAAGTATTAACTTGATTTCACTATTAGAAAATGTTTTTTTTTTTGTTTGTACAAATTTGAAGATAAAATTTTTTTGTATGAATATTGTTGATTTTAACAAACGTAGGTACCAAGTCATTGTAATTACAGATTTGATTCATTGCTTCATCTTTGGCTGGTTAGTTTTCAGTGTAAATAAGTAAAGGTTCAGGGTTGAATGCTGATAATGTTGATAAATGTCACATGAGTTCTTTCTAGGTATAAATGGTATTTTCCATCTAATAAATGCAGCAATACAAAGCCTACTGAGTCATGAACTAGTTGTTCACATTTCCATCTTAAAGCTGTTCATTTTTTTTTTTTTTTTTTTTTGCAGCCTTGAAGAATGCCACATCAAATTCAGCAAAGCTTGAGATCTTATCCAGGAAATGCGCTCTCCTTGAGAGCTTTCCCATTAAGGTTCTTCACTGCAGGGAACAGATGTTACAGTATATGGACAGGAGTAATACTAGCACTATACTTACACTGGCCAGAAATATTGCTAATGTAAGTGGAAACTATTTGTTGATGACTTACTTGACCAAAGTGATCTCAAATATAAAAAAAAAAATCTAAACCTTCATCTATCCTCAAACTCCAGTGTTAAAAATTTGCAAACGAAGGAAACTTTTCACCCTCATTTTGCTTACCACCAAACATATTAATGAGAAGTCTGAACATGTTTACAATTTATTCTAAGAAAAAAAATTCTTTTATTTATAAACTGAAATATGTTCCTTTGTGTCTTCAAGCTCACTTTGCTTATCATTGAACATGATCATGAGAAGTCTGAAAATGTGTAAAAAGTGTTCTAAGAAAATAATTATGATTTTTATTTTTAAACTTATTATATTTTTCTGTGTTCGTAAGAGAAAAGCTGATTGTCAATCTTATTTGTTGTAGGACTACATGGAGTTCAAAGAAGAAGATGGAGCTATTTCAGTACTGGAGTATATCCACAAAGAGTTTCCTAATGATATTGATTCCGAAGGTAGAATTAGAATCAATTTTGTTTCTGGTTCTTAAAAATAAGCTGTTTATCCCCAAAATGTTTATATGTTATCAAATAATACCTTATTCACATAATGTATGGAGTTTATGTTTCAAATAGGGTTTTAAAAAAACTCAATTTTTTTTTTCACTTTATAAGTTGGGCTAAAATATTAAATCTTTATACAAAATCAATTTGGTTTTATTCCTGTAGATTAGAAGTATTTATTGTCTTTTATATCCGGTTTTTTATACTCAGTGATTTCCAATTGTTTTTCAGATGTACACAATCTTGCTGAGCTCCTTATGTCACAAAAACATTATGACAAAAGTTTAGAGGTATGTGTTAAAAAAATGTGTAGTAGTGTGTTCATTTTCAAACTTGATATTTTCAGTAAAATAAAATTTAAATTTTTCTCTCATTTTTAAAAAAAAGCTCTTAGTTATACAAAATATTCTACTTTTTGCTAAAACTCCTTGATCAATTTCTAACTTCTTATGATAACCATTTCTTATTTAATTCAGTCTGACTGAAAAAATTATAAGTAGAAAATAATTAATTATCAATATTTTCTCACGTTAACACATTTTAAATTAATCTTTTAGTTTCATTTTCTTGTTTTAAGATTGAACATTTTTTTACATTTATACATCTTGTCTAATTATAACTTTACAAAATTCAGATAATTGTTCGGCACTGTGGAGTGGATCTAATCTTCTGTACTGGTACACCTTCCTCAGAGGAACTGCTGCCTGCCATTGAAAATTTTATCAGTAAAGAAATTAAACTTGAAAGGTAATAACGAAAGCAGGTCTAACAAAACAATTATGTGAGTTTCATCACTAGATTGTCTTTCGCTAAAAAATGTGATAGCTCACAAAAATGTGATTAGCCATATATTGTTTGGAATAATTGAGCTGATTAATATTTTTTTGGAGACAAGCAGCCAGTTATTTCACACAGTAAGTTAAAAGTTTGAATCCTCAGGCAGATGAGGCCTTATAGCTGGAGTCAGCATTCCATCTAGGAGAGAAAACTCCAAATCATACTCCAATAAATGTGCTTGGAACTGCATTTTATCAATTTCTGCATAAACATTACAAATTTTGTTTCATTCATATAATGTTAGTGGCTTTCACTGTGAAATATGTGTTATATAATTATAATATCTTTTACAGGTTAAAATTTCCCAGTTTGATGCCAATAGATCTCAAGTCGAAGCTAGTTCAGTGTATTGTTTACACACAAGTTTTAACATCTTTAGATATTCTCAGGGTACTTTATATTTATTTTTTAATTTTTTTTTACTGAGTACTTTTTAATCCTGGATAGGTGCTTGTAAGTCCTGAGCAGTGCTGAAAATAAAATTGTTTTTTTGACAACCTAATTAAAAAAAAAGCATTTAAAAAAACATTTATCATTAAAGTTATAGTTATAGGAATATTTGAACAAATTACAGTTTTACTAGCATGAATGTAGAAAAGAAATTTAGTGACAAGTTTTCAGGTTTTATTTAATAAATAGTTTGATTGACATGGATCTTATTTATAGGATTTGATAAAGTTAGACTGAAATAGATGTGTCAATCAATTATATTTATTTCAGGATTTAATAAAAAGTTTAATGACATGGACCCTATTTATAGGATTTGATAAAGTTTAACTGACAGAGATGTGTAATTCAATGCTATTTATTTTCAGGATTTAATCAAAAGTTTGATTGACATGGATGTTGAAGCTTATGGTGATGTTCACTATGACATCGCTGAACCAATGGTTGAATGTGGGTATTTTGAGGAGGCAAAACCAATTCTTTACTCGTTGGTGAACTCGGAAAAATATAACAAGGTTATCATTTTTTATACATGTAAATTTCAAAGCAAACTTTCTGTATTTAAATTGTCAAGTAAATGCAAAAACAGTTTTTATATGTAATCATGAATTCATATTTTCAGTTAACTGGGTATAGACAGTTTCAATACAAAATATATACTAAAAACTATGGTAACACAGATTGCACTTAATATAACAGGTTAATATTAAAAGAAATATTTAAATCACTACAGGCTGCAGTGTGGCTGACCTACGGTCAGTGCTTGAATGCTTTAGGAGATATTAAAGGAGCGGCTGAAGCCTACACGCAGGTGGTAGAAAAAGCACCCGGTCATTACGGTGCCAGGGTCACTCTGTCCTCCTTGCTGCAGCAGATGGGCCAAAATGAAGTGGCCCTAGATGTTCTATCAAAAGGTGGGTAATTGAGTGTAAATTTTGTAAGCTCTGGGCTGGTTAAAAACTACAGTAATAGTTTTTAATTTTTTTACCAGTATTCTTTGATAATTATTTTTTATCTGTAGTCTTTAATTATTATTTTTTTTTACCAGTAAGACCTAATATTGGAAAACTTTTTGAGTACATTATCTTGTTACAACATTGCATGTAGATATGTGTAAAAGTAAAAGTTTCCCTTTCAAACCTACCGGTCTATGGGGCAAGTGAAGTAGAGTTTGCTTGTTTCTGTGACCTCGGCATATGAAGAGATAGTGTGGTCAGCACTATGCCCAGCCGCCTTTACTTTCCCTAACGTGAGTTATGTACCCATCAGAGTTGGGTGGACTCAGATATGTGTATACAACTTATTAAGATTTGCTATCAGCTTTTTCACATACTTGAATATTTGTTTAAATGAAAATCTTTTCAAAATTCTGGTGTTTAGATGGATAAATGTCAAATCTGAGTTATTTCTTTTTCATTTGGATAACCCATTTATGTTGTGGAGAAAATATTTTGGTTTGGTTATTCTATACAGGTTCATTAGAGGAAGGGGAAGCAACTGCAGACCAACTCTTGTTGATTCACAAGTGCCAGTTACTTCACTCCCAGGGTAAAATAGATGAGTTTATTGCCACGGCTAGAAAGTTATTGTCTTACCACTTTCCTGGTCAGTTGAAGCCTGACTTTATCAAAGGTAAGCCTCAGCTGTTAGTAAAAAAATTGTTCTTGAGTTTAAATACCACACTTTGAAAGAATACAATCTTTGTTTTTGTTGTTTTTTTAAAATAAATAAATAAAACCATCTTCTTCTTTTTCATTCTGAATTTTATTATTAGAAAGGCTTTCCTCCAAAAAATTAAATTTTGCGTATCTATATATATATAATTCTCTTCTGGGAGCCGTTAGAAAACAAGCTGCAAGCGCCCCCTTGCAGTCCCCTCTCTTTCTCTCTATCACTATCACCACCACCCCCACCCCACCCCCACATTGTCTGGTGAGCGGTGTTCACTCTAAATGTTTACAAAGCTAAATGTTTACAAATCGTAGAGCCATAGAGCCGGGTTTCTATTAGGGGCAGATAATTTAGTTCGATTTTAAACTTACAGGAGGTAACGAAGAAATAAATAAGAGGAGGCTGATTTCACGGGGGGGGGGGGGGGGGGGGGTGTAGGGTCGGGGTTAGGGGAAAAGGGGGGGGGGGGGTTAGTGTTTTAAAGCAAATATTTTCAGTGGCAGCATTGGTACTGTCGAATTCACAAATTATGAATTACTGAAAAGTAGAAATTAAAACAACTAAATAGCGGCGTATGATACGCTTCGGGTCGGCTCGTATGTTATAAATGTCATTTTTTACTTTGTGTACATAGTATAGAGCAAGTATTGTTATAGTGCTAAATAATTAACATATATTTTGATAGTTTTTGCTGTTATACAGCTCCCTACTTTATAATGGAATTATTGTAGTCCTGCAAAAAATAATCAAAATTTTGACAAATTCTGATGGTTTTGACCCCCACCCCACCCCATCTACAGGACAGATTTCTTTCAAACTTTTACTTGACTCAAGACTCCAAGACAATGCACTGTGACTTAAAATGACTTTAATTTTTAATTAACTTTTTAAAATATATCAATGTCTGGTGTACTATTTTTTACTCAGTTATATAAACACTGTGTGCATTTGGTGTGCAATTCTCTTTCCTATGCGATTCCATTTCGTTTAAAAAATGGAAGTATTATATAAAAAAAACATTATCTTTTGGCTGATTGCACTGTCAAATAAGAATCTGCCAGAAAGTTTAGGGTAGCTCACTCCCACTTTATTTTAACATGTGTTCAAATTTTTGTAATTTTAGTTTTGTTGGGGATGAGAACTTCTAAAAGTAGGAGGTCTATTTTACCCCAGTTCATGGGTAGCAGTAAAAAATTGAGCAAAGGTAAACTTAGTTTCTTCTGTAGTTTATTTATTTTTTTAATTTTTAAAATAATAGCTATGAATCATTTAGGTGTAAAAGTTCTATCTCGGCTTTCTATATTCAAAAGTATTTAGTAATTTTACTTTCTTTTTAATAGTTGTGTTTTTACAATGACTTTTCTCTAGAAAAAAAAATGGAGGCTGAAGCTACTGAAAACAAAGAGTTAAAAGGTGGAGAGGAAAGAAAATTTAGAGCCAATTTATGGGATATCCATCTCAAGGTATATCATGATCTTGCACATTTTTAAAAGATAAATATAGGGGCTTTGGGTGCTATACTTTCTAGACAAGCAGTTTAAAAATGTTATCCCCGTATACTAGATTAAGAGTTAAAAAATGTAATCTCTGTGTATTAGTTTAACATTTAAAAAAATTAATTCTCTTGACAGGTGTGTCGAGCTATGCATGAAAAAGGTTTGATGGATGATCTGCTTGAAACTGCCACACTAGGCATGATCTGTCCAGTGTTTGCTCCAGATCAGGCCATGGTCAAGGTCAGTTCTAATTTTAAATTTGAACTCACTGTTCATTTCACTCAACTCAATTCATTCTTGTTTAAATCTTTTAGCTAAGATCCGAGTTGTAACAGATTTTGAGTACTTTGTTGTTTTATGTTTGGAGTGTAAATAGTGTGTCAGAAGGTCGTCTGGCTAACAAAAGTGAATGGTGAGCACCTAATCAAGTTGTATTTTTATCATTTCACTCATTGACTGTGTTGAGGAACTGAAGTGTATATAATATAAGGTGTGAAATTAGCGTGAAAAGTGTGCCACCCCAGGTTATTGCTGAATTAGTTGAAGTAATTACTTAACTTCTGATAATGGACTGTGATTTAATTTTATAAATCAATTTAAAAAAAAATTGAACTGCAGTGAGGTTTATGCAAATAGTAATAAACGGTTAGTGTTAGTATCCTTACAAATCAAAGACTATTACAGGTACAACAGATGGTCTAGACCCAATGTCTTTAATAGCAAACAACAGTGTGGTTAAGGATTAGACAAAAAAGACAAACTTTAACATAATTTTAGACAGGTCTACTTCACTTGCCCCATAGATGGTCAGGTTTTAAAAGGGAACTTCACTTATAACCTGACTATAGGCTGATTTAAGCTGGATGGTATAACAGGGATTTATAAGAAGAAAAATAAAACTGAAATAACTAAGTGTTATAATTAGCTTGATCTTTTACTTGTATGAAAGATAGTGATCAGTTCCATTTGATATCTGAAAGTTCATGCATCCTAAATACTAATCCTGACTGCTGAAAAACATAATATCCATTTGATAAATTCTTAATCAAAGATTGCGTGTGAATGGTATCTTTACAAATTAGTGGTTATGTGTCTGCTGATCATTCAAAATTCTGAATCAACATATTTTATGTACAAAATAATTCCCGAATGAACATGTTTTATATAAAAAAATAATTTTTGAATGAACATATTTTATGTAAAAAATAATTTTTGAAGGAACTTATTTTATGTAAAAAATAATTTTTGAAGGAACATATTTTATGTAAAAAATAATTTTTAAATGAACATTTTATGTAAAACTAATTTTTTACGTAAAAAAAAAACTCTAACCAAATATTTATTTACAGGATGCAGAGTTCATGTGTATGAAGGTAGGCTCAGTGGGCATCAACATCTATCATCTGGCTAGGAACATGATTGTTGAAGTGAGTTTGGTTTACATGATGGTATTGTAGTAGTTTTCATTATTTTTGCTGAAAGCTTTGAACGTATCTTCACTTTAAATAAGAGCATGGTCTGGTGAACTGTGGTTCATGCTAAATGTTTACAATCGTAGAGCAGGGTTTAGGGACGGCTATTAGGGGCAGATAATTTAGTTAGAAACGATTTTAAACTTAGGGAAGGTAACTAAGAGGAGGCTATTTTCACGGGGGGGGGGGGGGTGTGGGTAGGGGGTTGGGGAAAGGAGGGGGGTTTATCGTCCTTAACGAGCTACTGGAAGTGTTTTAAAGCAAATATATTCAGTGGCAGCATTGGTACTGTCGAATTCACAAATTATGAATTCCTAAAAAGAAAAAATTAAAACAACTAAATAGCGGCATATGATACGCCGCGGGTCGGCTCGTTCACAATATTTGTTAAAATGAAAAACTGTCATTACTTCTTACAAAAAATTATAGGGAAGTTTTTTATTTTCTTTTAGATTATACAAATATTTTACACCAAAAATCAAGAAATGGGTATCTGCTGAATTGAACTTATCAAAATCTTAATATTTTTTAAGTGGCTACGCGGAGCAAACTGCATGCCACCAGCCTTCCCTAGGCTAGGTGGAGCAAACTGAATGCCGCCAGCCTCCCCTAGGCTAGGTGGAGCATTCCGCCAGCCTCCCCTAGGCTAGGTGGAGCATTCCGCCAGCCTCCCCTAGGCTAGGTGGAGCATTCCGCCAGCCTCCCCTAGGCTAGGTGGAGCAAACTGCATGCTGCCAGCCTCCTCTAGGCTAGCTGGAGCAAACTGCATGCCGCCAGCCTCCTCTAGGCTAGGTGGAGCAAATATGTATGCGCAAGCATATAACATTCAACTTTTCATTGACGTTGGGTTAACTGTTCATGTGGTCTAAGTGGTTGTGCATCAGACATGTTGCATTTGTTGCATGGGTTCCAATCCTTTTGAGTTTTTATTTTGCTTTTTTCCCCCCTTATTTACATTATGGGAAGTTAGGGTTTATATATACATGCGCAATACATTGAAAACATTGCCATGAAGTGAGGCAAGTTTTTCCCCACTATGCATGCATAGTTTCATCCAACTAGAATCAGTCTTATATTTAGTTTATTATCATGATAAACTTTCTCCCAAGGAAAAAGACAACAACCAAGCTTGGAACTTGTACAATTATGTAGTCACCAGACTGAAAGAAGTAACAGATCTGAGGTTTGCAACAAGAGCATTAATGAAGGTAGAAAATTGTTTTTTATTTTTTTTTATTTTTATTTGCTTTGAATGATGACCTCCTGCTTAAGAAAATAATTTTTTTTTTAAATTTATGTCAACTCATTGACTTGTTCTTTATTTTTTTCACAAAAAATTGTGATGAATGTTGTAAATTTTTAAATTCACTAGATTCTATTTCTTTATAGTAATATTTTCTTGAACTCTATAACACTACCAGTAAAAAAATAAAAAATATGTCATTTCCTGTCAGAATATGGCTATGCTCTAAAAAAAACAGTTTGTTTTTAGACTGTCAGCAGCTAATTTTAAAAATTAAAATAAGACTAATTCAAAGAAAAATTTCTACAGAACCCAGATAGTTTGGCATTGGGCATGTTGAATGGAAATGCTCGAATGATTTCTGGAACATACAAGCAAGCTTTGGGTAAATCCAAATTTCATATTTTGTTGTCCCTTGCTTATACAATGGTACCTCGACATACTTGGGCGGCGACATACAAGATTTTCTGTGATACAAGCTAACGTTTGCTTTGACATACTAGCAGAAATTTGAGATACAAGTAACCGGATTATTAAGTTAAACAGTTCTTGAAAAAGAAACATCCCAAAAAAGTTGCACCTGATTGCTCATTGGAGCTATTTACTGACACTTACCTAACTCATTTCCAAAACATTCTAAAACAGACAAAGAAACATACCTCATTGGTCAGGTTTATTTTAATGGCCTGCTTGGAAAGTGTGATGAAAATTATGTAACAAAACATATAGTAACATATTGGTTCAATCGTATTCACTGAAATGCCGTTAAGTTTAGTGATAAAGTATAGTGGTAAGAGTGTAACAAGTAAGTAAATTAGAGTGATAAGAGCTAAGCATAACCAGTGAGTAATTGAACAAAGTTAATGAACGAAGTTTAGCGCCTCTGCCTATCTCTTCCTCAAGGAAAATGCACTTTACTAAACCAGTTTATTTCTTTATATTATCCAATATTATATTATAAAATGATATTTAAATTAAATGTAAAAATACATAAGAAAAAAAAAGATTGAATAAAATATAATTGGGGTAGCATCTTGGGGGCTGGAACGGATTAAAGACATTTCAAATAATTTCTATGGAAAAAAACTGTTTTGAGACAAAAGCAATTTGACACACGAGCAATGTTACAAAAAGAATTAAACTCAAATCACGAGATACCATTGCACTTAGTAAACATTTACATTATTCTTTGTTTGAGTGACAAACTGAATTCATATTTTATAATACAAAAATTAACCTGGCATATAATTAGCTTGCAGTGTACTGTAACTTCTATCCTAGGTGAGTACTTGGCTGTATTTCGGCAGACGCCGGACAACGACATGGCCCTCCTGTGTTCTGCTCTGTGTCTGGTTCACATTGCATCCCAGTCCTACATCAGCAGAAAAAATCCCCTTCTAGCCCAGGTGACTCAAACATTAGTGGTTTTGTTACCTATAATTTTCATGTCATTTATACAGAAATATTAAATAGCACAGTAATTATATTGCTATTGCCTTGACAAAATACCGACACAAATATATTTTTAAAATTTTCTTGTTTAATACAAAAAATGAAATACTTTAAACTTCCTTGTTTTTCTTGAAGCTAAAACATTTAATTTTAGTTTATTAACATAAATTTGTAATATTTAAATTTCAATGGATACTCAAAAGGAATCTGAGGCAATGGCCTATATAGCGTATAACAAGTTTACACCTAATACTTAATTGTGTCGGAGGCTTTTCCAATACTAGAATTAAGAACGAAGAAGAAGAATGGAAACTTATCAAATGAAGAAATAGGTTTCTCATCAAAATTGTAACCTTAACTACGGCTCTAAATCTAATATAAAAGTAAATCTACAGTTAAAGCTAACTTTATATGTACCTCAACCATACGGTGTAGGGTTAAAAAGGTAAAAATAACTGCCAAAATTATTCATTTAAATTTTTTCTGTCTGTAGGTGATTTGCCTAATGAATGCCTACAAGGAAATGCGCGGGGAGTGCCAGGAATCTTATTACAACATGGGTCGTGCTATGCACCAGTTAAGTAAGTAACAACTGCCCACATCCATGCTGAACCCATTTGCTTATGGTTTCATTTGGGTGGGGGTGGGGGCTTGACAAACACTGGTAAAAGTATATAAAGTATATATTTTCTGTATAAATGCTATTTTGTTCAGGGTGGGGAGATGTCTTGAAGAAACCCTGTTGTAGTTGTCTCAGCTTTGGGCATGTTAGCTATGATGCTCAAGTCTTTATTTTATACTTAGTCTCTTTTTTTTTAGTTCTCTCCCCTTAGCTATATTTTTCTAATTTCCCAATAATATGAATTTTTACATTGAGATGATAAAATTATTCACTTTTATAAACTTTTTTAAATTTAATGAACTTGTCTGTAATGTGAACATAAACTTACTTTAAAAATTTATTTAAATTTATTTAAAAAAAAAACAACCCACCTTTTTATGCTATGTTGCTTTGAGCATGCTTGTTTACTATTTAACTCACTGACCCAATCCTATGAGGAGACTGACTGTTTGACCACATAAACAAAAGAGGGACACACTTTGTATGGTAAAGCGTTTGGCTGCTAACCCAAAGGTCTTGAGTTCGCACCTTGATTTGGACTTGTTACTGTAGGATGACCCTGAGCCCACCCACCTTTGATGGGTACCTGACTTTCATTTTTACCCTATAGCATGACATACTAATTCAAAGGATTCCGCACCAAAAGATATACATAACTTTAAAGATGGGTACCTGACTTTCATTGGGAAAGTAAAGGCTGCTGACCCACACCATCCCTTCATATGCCAAGATCAAGAAACACATGAACTCTACTTCACCTGGCCTATAGATCGCTAGATCTAAAAAAAATCTTTACTTTCATTTACCCTACTGCATGAAATACTAACTCAAGTGATACTGTATCAAATGGTATACATATCTCTAAAGAAGTCTGCTTTCATCCTTCTCTAGATATTATCTACGCAGCAGTCTACTACTACAAGAAAGCTCTAGAATTCCCACCTATAGTTGTTGATGAACAGGTAAGTTCTTTTTTAAAATTAAAAATTATTTGAGCTGAATTGACAATTTATTTTTTTAGAGTAGAAGGATCACAAGTTGTACACTGAATCACACCCATCAAACATTTAAAATAAATTTGAATCTATTATCATTGAAACTTGGTAAATAGAAGGCTTATTATGGATACCAGCAAAAAATAGATAAACAGCTACAACAATTGTATTTGTAGTTGTATGTTTGGTTGTATGAACTTCTTATTAATCCTATTTAATTTAAAAAATAAAGTTTAACTGGATAGTTAATTTTAAAAACTTAAACTCGGGCAGATGAGGCTCGTTAGCTGGGGACAGCCACTCTTCTAGGAGAGACAACTCCAAAACCAAACAACTGCTGCCTTGTAGTTTGTTCTTGGTTGGACAAAGGCTATGGAAGCAAATCCAAAAAGAAAAGCAGGCTGAAATCTGAGTCAATGGCCTCAATGGCGCATAACCAGTTGACGCGTATCCTTAATTGTGATGGAGGCGTGGTCGAGTCGGCAAAAAAGCTCATGGTTGATAAAATTCGAAAAAGTCTCGAGTTCAAACCCTCTGGCAGATAAGGCTCGATCCCTTCCAACACAAAAAATTAAGAACGAAGAAGAAGAAGAAAAACTTTAAAAAAAATGAAAATTATCGCCCTGTGTAAATGTAAATAAATTAAAAGTATCGCCCAGTGTAAATGTGAATAAATTAAAAGTATCGCCCAGTGTAAATGTAAATAAATTAAAATTATCGCCCTGTGTAAATGTAAATAAATTAAAATTATCGGCCAGTGTAAATGTAAATAAATTAAAATTATCGCCCTGTGTAAATGTAAATAAATTAAAATTATCGGCCAGTGTAAATGTAAATAAATTAAAATTATCGCCCTGTGTAAATGTAAATAAATTAAAAGTATCGCCCAGTGTAAATGTAAATAAATTAAAAGTATCGCCCAGTGTAAATGTAAATAAATTAAAATTATCGCCCTGTGTAAATGTAAATAAATTAAAATTATCGCCCTATGTAAATGTAAATAAATTAAAATTATCGCCCTATGTAAATATGTTGCGTGTGACCAATATGTTATTGCCCCTCAGGGAACCTTTGACCTCAGCCATGAGATTGCCTACAACCTGGCGCTGATCTATAACAAGTCAAACAACCCTGAGATGGCAAGCTACTACATTGAGAAGTACTGTGTCATTTAAAGTACCTTGTACTGTGTCATTTAAAGTACCCTGTACTGTGTCATTTAGAGTACCTTGTACTATGTCATTTAGAGTACATTGTACTGTGTCATTTAAAGTACCGTGTACTGTGTCATTTAGAGTACCTTGTACTGTGTCATTTAAAGTACTTTGTACTGTGTCATTTAAAGTACCTTGTACTGTGTCATTTAAAGTACCTTGACATTTGAAATGGTGGATACTGTGTCATTTAAAATAATATGCTGTGCACCATGTTAAGTGATAGATGGTGTCATTTAAAGTACCTTGTACTGTGTCATTTAAAGTACCTTGTACTGTGTCATTTAAAGTACCTTGTACTGTGTCATTTAAAGTACCTTGTACTGTGTCATTTAAAGTACCTTGTACTGTGTCATTTAAATTACCTTGTACTGTGTCATTTAAAGTACCTTGTACTGTGTCATTTAAAGTACCTTGTACTGTGTCATTTAAAGTACCCTGTACTGTGTCATTTAAAGTACCTTGTACTGTGTCATTTAAAGTACCTTGTACTGTGTCATTTAAAGTACCTTGACATTTGAAATGGTGGATACTGAGTCATTTAAAATAATATGCACTGCACCATGTTAAGTGATAGATGGTGTTATTTAAAGTGATAGGTTTTTTTAAAATGAGAGGTACTGTGCAGTGTGATTATTGTTATATCAGTCATAAGCACTGTGACTTTTTAAAGTTATAATTAGAAGGTCTATGTACTCATAATACAAAGCAGTATTCAAATAAGTGAAACAATGAAACATCTAAAGGTACTATCAATGTACTTGAATCACAAGTACAATACCTTGTCATTTAAAAGTACTGTCCCTTGAATCACAAGTACAGAACCATATCAGTTAAAAGTACTGTCCTTTGAATCACAAGTACAATACCATGTCATTTAAAATTACTGTCCTTTGAATCACAAGTACAATGGCTTGTCAGTTAAAAGTACTGTCCCTTGAATCACTAGAACAATACCTTGTTTAAAAGTTAAGAGCTGTGTTATTGGCAAGTGACAATAATTGTTATTTATAGTTTGAAAAGTATTTTGTAAATAAACCATGTTATTTTATAAGTCGCTGCTGTAATTGATTTATTGTTCATTTCCTGTATATGTGTACATAATTTATATAATAAAAATGTTATCAATGTTTTGATTGAACATTGTGCTGTAATAAAAATGATTATATAAATCATTATTTCCTGTAATTTTTTTTGAAAACTTATAATTGTGTATTGGATGTTTTTGAACTCTACTTCATCTGCCCCATGTGTCTTGGGCACAAAGGGAAAAGATGATGATGATAGGATGTTTTATTATCATTACAGTTTATACACAATCACTACTGTATCCTGTTTTCTGATATCGTCCTACTTATTTTAATTATAACAATAAATAGAATTATAGCCCCATTTTTTTACGCCTGATGAGGTAGGTGATGTGGACTTCACCTATGTATGGGACCACAGAATGTGAAAGTATTGTATGGTCAGCTCTTTGCCCTGCTATCTTCACTTGCGTCAACTATTCAGTTGCCCATCAATGTAGATTTATCCATTAGATTTCTGCTGCTAATGACTAAAGTGTTTTACTGTTAATTCTACCCGCACTTTTAAGCTACACTGTTCGAAGAAACGCATGTTTATATAAGCTCATTATAATGGTTTGTTGAAGGGGGCTGGCGGCCTAAACACAAAGAAAGAACAGATAACTCATACAACCCTTAGGACGTTTTATTTAGTCATGGTTGACTCCCTTTGGTTCTGAACTAGAAAATCTAGCTTTGAATTAATTCTTCATCAAATCAGTGACTGAATTTATTCATTAGCGGGAACTTCATGTTTTTGCTATAAAGTTATCAATAACATCCATCTACCCAGGGCCGGCGTTACCTATAAGGCGAACTAGGCGGTCGCCTAAGGCGCCACCCCTATGGGGGCGCAAAAGGTTTAATCGCTATTATCCAAAAAGTACCAAATAATTAATAACTTTTATAACGGTATGGCGATCTATTTCGGCACCCAGGACGAACTATCAATTTTGCACCCCACCCCATAATTAGGTCTATATAGGCCTATATTTATTCGCGATAGTGAAAATGCAACCCCACCTCCCTAAGTTGGAAAGGTCGGGGCGCTTTTTACCCGATACTTTGCCTTTTTAATTTGGTGTCACATAATCGATGTAGAAAACGATTAAATAAGTACGTAATTTACATTTCGAACATTTTAAACGGTTTTCTAATTTTAATAGGGCTTGTAAGTCTCATTTTCTCTTACTTTGAATTAGAAATCTGACTTGGTGTATCAGAGGCGTAGAGACCCTTCCCGGCGCCCGGGGACAAACTTTCGATTTGCACCCCCCCCCCCCCTCGAACTTTTGATTTGTACCCCTCCATCCTCAAACTTTTCATTTGCACCCCCCCCCCCCTCAAACTTTCGATTTGCAACCCCCCTCGAACTTTTCTTTTGCACCCCCCTCAAACTTTCCATTTGTTTTTACAACCCATTTTAGCGCCTTCCCCCCAAGGTCGGTGCCCCCCACCCCTCGCTACGCCTCTGTGGTGTATAGAATTTTGTAATGACGGGGTGTTCAAAGTATTGTACTTGTTTGGTAAGTTTTGATGACTCGTTTAGATTTGGGAGTAACGGCGGAAGGCTGTTGCTAATATGGTTTCGTAGAGTATAAAGTATCGAAGTGTTAAAGTGTCATAATTTTTATTCGTCTGTTTTGTGGTTGAAGGTCTAGTGGAATCTGATTGGTAGTAGAGAAATGAGAATACAGGTGATGAAGCATCATAGTTTTGAAGTTGGGGAGTATTGATTCTTGTGGTACTAAGGTATCGAATTTGATTGTTAAAGTGTAGTAGTAGGTCCAGTGAAATCGTTGTTTATTGGGAGTACCGTTTGTAGAGCTTGGTGAAGTTAAACGAATCGGGGTCGTAGTTCTGGAGCATCGAGTCTAGTTATGTTTAAGTATCGAAGTTTGATATGTGTTGTGAATAAAGCAGATTGAGTATATCGAGTAGTCGAGGTTATCGTACGTAAGATGATTTCAATTCAGGACAGAACACACTACAAAGAAAGGTAGGTGTTCTCTAGCTGAAAAATCTTTAGTTTTTAGGAATCTATACTGCCACTCTTAAAGTATTAATATATTATTTATTAAATAACATATATAATTAAATATATTAAATAGGATGGAATTTATAACTAACCGTAAACATTGTTTTTTTTTTTCAAATTATAATTTATTTATTTATTTATTTAGGCCTATTAACTTTTTTTTTTTTTTTTTTTTTTTTTTTTTTTTTTTTTTTTTTTTTTTTTTGCAATTTAAAACACGTACATTAACATCAGCAAATTTTACATAGTTGAATTTATACATACACAAAATTAAAAGATAGTTGTAAAGACCATTTGTTGACAGGTCTTTTTTTAGGAGGGGTACATTTGTAGGTGGTGGGGGGGGGGGGAGGGGTGGTTGTATTTACGAGAGTCAGAGAAAATATGACTAAAAAAATTGTCTTGGTCGCTGCTTTTCTCTTCCTTGTCGTGATTCTTATTTTCTTCTCTGGTGTGAGGCAGTAGCGTAGCGGGGGGGGGGGGGGCATATGTCTCCGGGCGCCGACCTTAGGGGGGGGGGGGGGGCGCCAAATTGAAAGTTTGAGGGGGGGGGGGGGGTGCAAATGAAAAGTTCGAGGGGGAGGGGGGAAGCAAATCGAAAGTTTGAGGGGGGGGGGGTGCAAATGAAAAGTTCGAGGGGGGGGGGTGCAAATCGAAAGTTTGTCCCCGGGCGCCGGGAAGGGTCGCTACGCCTCTGTTGTGAGGCTGAAGTAAGCTGAGTAGTAATTGGAACCATCCCCCATTTCAGAGTGTATTTCCTCGCAGTGACTGTCCCAAGCATACTCTGAAAGGAAACATGTTTCACAGATGGTGCATTGGAAAGTTTCAGTCTCCGTATGTGTTTCTGCGTGGTGCGTGACTGCTTGTTCGCGTGTAATTTGTATATTGCATAATCCGCATACTGTATTCTTCGTGTGTTGTTTGTAATGTTTAACATACTCTTCTAGGTTCTTGCACATTTTTAAGCAGCATCCGCAGGTCATAAGCTCATTAGTCATCAAATCGACTGCCCAAACCAGGGGTCGGCAACCTGCGGCTCGCGAGCCGCATGCGGCTCTTTTGATGTCAAGATGCGGCTCTTCAGCTCCATGAACAAAAATTAATAATTATTTTATTTTATTTTCAAGACTCATTAAAATATTAGTCTGCAACACTCGGTAATGAACGATATAATAATAAACATAAACAATTAACACTCACTATTCTATTAGACTATTTAGTTACTCCCTATTTCAATGTACTTCCTATTAAATTGTCCATTGCGAATTGAAACATTCAACTTCATGACGGATATCACAAAGAAACTAAACGAGATAAATGTAAAACTGAAAAGAAAGGAAAACCCAGCCTATGCCTTGTTCGAAGAAGTGGTTTGTTTAGAGCAGGGGTCTCCAAACTTTTCAGTCCGAGGGCCGGATTAAATATCAAATTTCAGTTCGGGGGCCAGTTTCTTCCAGGCATTTCTTTGATTTTTCTGGGCAAAGTTCCTCAGCTATCACCAACAAACGCTTTTTCCGTGGACAAAAAGATCTCCGCGGGCCGGATGAGAGGACCTCGCGGGCCGCATCCGGCCCGCGGGCCGTAGTTTGGAGACCCCTGGTTTAGAGAAAAAAATACTTTTTTGTTAGAGTCACGGAGAGCAGTAAATTATTGGAAAAACAATATCGTGATTAAACCAATGCTACTATTAACATGAATCACTTCAGCATTACTATAAAGAAAATGAAGGATGTTTTCACTGAGAGATATGAGCATTTCAAAATATATATATATATATAAAATCCTAAACAAAGATCATACTATTGACATAAAACTTTTTGGGGCTCTTTAATTACTTTAAACACTGGGAAATTTTGTACATTGTAAAATTTGTCACTTCCATCTTTTTTTTTTTTTTTACTTTTTTTTAACTTTTTATTTAAATACTTTTATTTGCAATTAAAACAAGTACATCAACATAACATTTTTTACATAATTTCGAGCATCAAATAAAAACGAAAGGTTTTGCAAATTAAGTTGACTAGTTGAAAGGGTGTTTATTTATGTACTGGTCGCATTGAGTTTTCAAAAGGTTGCTGTGTGAAAGATGAGGGGAAAGAAACAAGGTTTAGAACTTTAAATAAGTAAATGAATAGATATTCGAAATTGACGTTGGGGTGGGTGGTGGGGTCGTTGGAACAGTTAAAGGGAATGTGGGGTTATCATGTCTGAGGGTGAAGTGGATAGAGGGGGGAGGGGGTAGATGTGTCTGACGAGGCGTGGAGAGGGTGTCTGTGTGTTTTTAAGGCAAGCCAAGCGTCAAATTATGTGCTGTGTTATCTAACTGCTGAGGCGTTGCTATTTATAGTGTGTGTGGGTGGGTGGGGGGGGGGGGGGAGGAGGGTTTGACAAACAGATTGCTGTGTGAGCGATTTATTGGGAGGGTGAAAGGTTGGTATGTTCAAGTAGGTGTTTATGTTTATTTGAATGTTTAGTACCGACAGGTTAGGGGTGGGTAGGCGTGTAGCTATCACGGGGTGTGGGGATACAGTGGAGTTTTAAAGGTAAAAAATTGGTTAACAGTGTTCTCATAAAAGAGTTAGTAAAATTTACAAAACAACTGTAAGTATTAATTTGGTGATAATAATGCGAATACAAAGGGAGTGGGGGTCATTGGGGTCATTTTGTACGTTGTGGACCAAAGTACCTTACATATATGACAGGGGTCGGCAACCTTTTGAAGCGGAAGAGCCAAAAGTTACAATTTTCAAAATTTCCCTGGTTTTAAAGAGCCACTAACATTTTTTAAAATTTCAAATACATTATTTATTATTAAGATTATTAGTATTTGTGCAAGGAGCTGAAGAGCCGCATCTTGACAACAAAAGAGCCGCATGCGGCTCGCGAGCCGCAGGTTGCCGACCCCTGATATATGATAATAGTTAAATAGAAACAACTGACGGTTGCCGACACCAGGTCCAGGCCACAATCGTAATAAGGTGATTGTCATCAAAATTGAATAAAAGTATATTATAATAAAGCTACCGTTTTCGGACTTTGAAACAAAACCTACA